ATAGCTGCGATCATGGAACACTGAATGGTTGGCGGCCCAGCGTTGGTATGCAGCGATTCGCATCTCCTACTGCAGCACTTGCGTCGAGACTAACGATTCCGAGTTCGCAACACTGTTCCCAACCTTGTCGAAGAGAACATTCCACCATATGACTATGTTATACTCTGTACCAAGAATGTACCCGATACTTCACCTACAGCGGTTGAGCTTGTCACACCAGCACTTCCCAAGAACAGCGGCAAGACGACGCTTCTTCTCCTCCAAAATGGCCTCAATATCGAGAAGCCTTTTCTTCGCCCTCATCCCAATGTTCCGATTCTTTCTGGAATTTCCATGATTGGTAGCGCGGAGCCTTCACCAGGGGTCATTGTGCACGACGAACCCGATAGACTGCTTGTCGGAGCCTTTCCCACTTCGAACATCAACCCCGCTGTTCCGGAGCGAAGGGCGGAAGAGTTTGTCGAGTTATACAGCAAAGGAGGAAAGACTGACTGCCAGTACTCGCCCAATGTCCTATATGATCGCTGGAAGAAGCTTGTCTTCAACGCAGCCTTGAATCCAATCTGCGCTATTACGGGTCTAGATGATGGGCGCATACGCCTTGCTGACGGTGCACTTGATGGACTTGTCAGGCCAGCCATGCAAGAAATTGTCACAGCTGCTAAAGCGGTATGCGGAGTGGAGTTACCTGACGATGTTGTGGAAGCTACAATCAACATGGACCCGCTAGAAAGCTATTTGAAGCCGAGCATGCAGCAGGATCTAGAAAAAGTACGTTGTTGAGGCGGTCAAGCTTATCGTGAGTAAGCACAACAATTAATGCTGACATTGATAGGGCAACTTTATCGAGTTCGAGAACATATTAGGCGAGCCGCTTAAGGCGGGGAAGAATGCAGGTGTTTGTATGCCCACTCTTGAGGTGCTGTATCATATTGCAAAAGCAATACAGTGGCGAACAAAGGAGAACAAGGGACTGGTCGAGGTACCGAAGAAAGCTTAAAGCGACGGTATGCTCAGGCTTCATTCATCCTTGGTGTTAGCAAGACTCGCTGTGAGAAAGAGTAATCTGGGTCGTCACATATGCGATGTTTGCACTGATTCAGCATCACCTGGATTGTAAAACCATGAAGACTCCATATATCTCTTACATATACCCCGCGGAGTGAAGTGCAGTGCGTACGTCATGAAAGCAATAAGGTTTTGGGTAGCCGTATGGTCCCTGGAACGTTACCCTCCTGTACCGACTTTCTACACAATCTTTCAAGCTATTATTCAGGGCTTCTTGCATGGACCTAGTCGCACCCTTTGGCCCCCACATGTAGCTGGCCTGTGCGGGTTGGGTACACAGTTGTTAATACGGACTCAGTGACCGGCGAGTTGTGCAAACACAAGCGACACAACAGTACGGTCTGTTTGCTCAACCTGGGTCAACATCCGCACGCTATGTTGATTCGGCCGGAGGGAGCGAGATGCGATGGAAGCGTGACTATCCGAGTCATCACCGGGCAACAGTGATTGGACAGGCATGGATTCGCACTCCGTCGTGACAGGGGAGAGTTCAGATGGCAAAGCGGGTCACCGCGTTGCCGCTGCAAGGGCAGAGCATCTCTGGATGCAAAACCGGTAGAAGCGGAAGATCTTGGGCTCTGGCAGCAAAGCGAGGCCGGGATGTGCCAGGTTTCGAGGTGGCGGTGCAGTTCGGTTGAAGCTATGCTTGGCGAATGACGAATGACGGTGCTGGCCCACCAACTGGCTGCTGCTGCTGTCCCAGGGCGAAGAAAGCTCAAGAATCTTTTAAGTAAATCCACGTGAACCCTACATACTCACTGTCTCTCCTGTGACTAGTTCCTACGTCGCCTGCTCTCGCCGGTTGCAGCCACATTACTCTCACCGTCTTTGAGCGCCTTCAGCGCGCGCGCCTAGGCTTAGACTCTGCTCAGCCTCCCGTATCACACAATCAGCTCCGCCAGTTGGCCCACTGCGCTGCCTGATATAACGTCAACACCCAACCCGGTAGATCCGACTATCAACCAGCCTTATTTTCAGTCTCCACCTATAGGAGAGCTGCACTCGTCTTCTCCAGGCAACCACTTTGCTGGTGCCAGTCACTCTATGCTTTTGCCAACTGCTTCGGCTACTGTGCCCGACATGGCAAGCAATGGGATTCGCAGAAAGGATACGACAAAGGGACCGCCGTTGCGCATCTTGTCTTTAGGTACGTGCTCGAAGCGCGGCTTCAGTATAGGGCGGGGTCGCTAACATGTTTGACAGATGGTGGAGGCGTGCGGGGGTACTCTATGCTCATTATCCTCCAGGAATTGATGCATCGAACATTTGTCGAAATACACGGCCGTGCACCCAAAAGACACGAAGTACCAAAGCCATGCGAACATTTCGATCTTATCGTGGGGACAGGTACCGGCGGCCTGATTGCTATAATGCTTGGGCGGCTAAGAATGGACGTGGAGACGTGCAAAGACGTCTACGTGCGCATGACGAGAAGAGTTTTTGAAACGGACAAGACATTTGCGGGCATACCGTACCGGTCAACATTGTTCAAGGCGTCGAAGCTGGAGGAAGCCATCATGCAGTGTGTGCGCGAACACACCATCTACGATGATGAAGGCAACGACAGTCACGAAGGGCGAGAATCGCTGCCTATGACACCAGGAAGCGCCACATCGGGTCGTATGCACAGGAGTGCTAGTAACGCCAGCAACTACAGTCAGATTGGCATGTCGCCCGTCAACATGCGCATCGCTGCCATGAAGTGGGGGAACCCGCACGCTTTGCTCTACGACAATCGCGAAGAGCGCACCAAGACGTAAGTCACTTTCTGTTCTTTTACGAAAATCAAGTTGACTAACAATATGTAGCGCTGTCACGGCCGTCTACAAAGGTACCAGAAAGTCCAGTGGGGGCCAGATACTTCTTCGCTCCTATGACTCACGCAAAGAACCCGCTATCGAACCCAACGCGACAATATGGCAAGCCGGACGAGCAACTTCTGCGACTGCGTTGGCTTTCAAACCCATCCAGATTGGTCAATCAGTTTTCCTCGATGAAGGCTCTGGCAAATATAACCCAGCACCTATGGCTTTGGACGAAGCCGTTTGCAACGAATGGCCTGGGCGTGAAGTTGGTGTTTTCATCAGTATTGGCACTGGAAAACGACCGGAGGGTACAAATGCGCAGCAACACTTGTGGTGGGAAGGGTTTGTTTCTGGCGGCATGGGAGACTTTGCCGAGGCCAGGCGGAGACTGATATCCAAGATCGAAGGATGTGAAAAGACACACAAGGAGATGAAGGACCACCTCGCAAAACGACATGTTAACCAGGAAAACTACTATCGCCTGAACGTAAACGTCGGTGTAGGCGAGTTTGGCATGAACGAATGGAACGCCTTGGCCGATATCAGCACGAACACGCGCATGTACCTGGCGGACCAGATCGTACAAGGTATGACGTTGGATGCAGCCGCAAAGATTGCACGTATCCACTTCGCCAAAATACGATGGGAACGCGCAGCCAAAGGAGAATCGCCATACTCGCCTGGCGCCCAAGCACCGAACAAGCCCCTTCCCAGTGTCCCAGATCCAGCGCCCATGGCCGTCGAACTCCCAGCTGAGGAGCTCTCACCCGAGTATTACACAAACATACACCCAGCCTTCCGGCCTCCACCAGCAGACCAGCGTCGGCCATCAGAAAACGACAAGTACCTGGTGGTAAACTCTGAGGAGCAGCCGCCATCACCAGTCTCCGAAAATTACCACGACCTGATGCACCGACATTCTGGCGAGCTTGTTGCCCCTGGCCGCCGCTCCCATGAGCAATTCTCAGCTGGGCGGCCGGTATCAATGGTCAGTTCGGCAACTAGCTGGGATGATCGCATGTCGAACGCACCACCCAGACCTCCCAAGACACCTCTACAAGATGGGAGACCCCCTCCACCTCTTTCAGGTGGGTTGCCTATGTCGCCCATGTCGCCACCTCCCGGTTCTTCGTTCTCGAGACCGCCACCTGGTGCACCTTTGCCATATCCGGATACAGATGGGCCGCCTCCAATCGTTAACAAAGCGACAAAGCCGGATTATACACGATAGATGGAAAGTTGTTTTGTCTTTTTGGAATATGTTTGGACGTTGGAAATTGACACCCGTGTTGTCACACTGGGCCATGGAGGAAACTCATGATGACGATGACGGTTCATGACTGGAACAGGGGGGGCTTTTTTCCAGGATGAAGTATGAGAGAATAGTTTTTGATACCCAGTCGAGTTTTTTTGTTCCTATTTTTAGCTTTTGCTCGTCAATGATTGTATGAGAGATTGGATTTTCTTATCACGGTTTTCATGTTGAATCTTTATGAATGAGAATTTTCTTGGTTGTTTCGTGATGCTGTGAAGTGCCGCTCATGATGTGCTTTACTACTGCATCTAACGACTTTTAATAGCCCGTACCAGGTGATATAACAACTGTTAGATAATGTCCTCATGAGTAAGTGAAGAGATACATGTATCTAATCGACTTCACGGTACCGAAACTCTGTATGTCCCTTGGAGAGACTATAAATGATTGATGGATTAATGAGTTTAACGTTCACGGATGAAGATCTCCCGCGGGTATAGAGATAGAAAGTGCCCAGAGCTTATATCCGTACCTGCTACTGCCTATTCGTAGAAGAGCATACCTCTAAAGTAAGCGTCGTATAAGATCCTCCTCTGTCGGTTAAGAAGCCTCACCATTCTATCGTATGCCTGCGCACATACTAGTTGTGTTGTTTATATATCTTTCTCTCATTCCTCTACATAGGTATACGCTTCTCCTTTTGATTTCTTCCAGGGAGAGCAAGAAGCGTAGTAGGGCGACACTACACACGGATATGCTTTCATAGCTATCGGATTCGACCTATCCATTAATAGGCTTCAGCCTTCAACTTGCTAGGTGCATTGCCCCCGATACTACTCTGGATGATGAGCTGGGTACCAGACGCAGAGTAATTACACCTCTGGCCTAGTACTATCTTGGATGACATCCTCAATCTCCTCCTCCTCCTCATCAATATCCTCGACGTTCTTCTTCTTCTTCTCCCGCTTCACCGGCGTGTTATTCTCCTCTTCCACCTCCGCCTCCGCCTTCCCCTTCGCCTTGCGCTTCCTCGGAGTTGTAGCAGCCTTCTTAGGCGTAGTACTATCATCAGCCCCGGCGTCAGCACCGCGCAGTGCGGCCAACTCGTCTTTCAACGTGCCCTTGAGTCGGTCGACCATGATGCGACATGCGCCTACGGATTTGCCCTCGGGACGGGGTTGCGTTCTGGGTCGGTGTGTCAGTACGGGTTTGTTACGGTAGAAGTGGGGAAGAGGGGAGAGAGCGAGGACGAACGGTAAAGTCTAGTTTTATGTTTGAATACTCAACGAGGGAGAAGTAGTAGGCGAGCTGCATTGGTTAGTCTGACTGTGAGTTTTATTGGGTGAGGAAGAGCGTACGCGCTGGCGGTCAGTCCAACCTTTTGCAGTTGAGTCGGTGGAGGACATTTTGGATTGGTTGTAGTTGTTGTGTTGGGGTTTGGTGTGGATGATGGATGATGGATGTTGGTTGAGGTTGTGGGGTTGGGGAAAGAAGAAGAAGAAGTTTAAGAGAGATTGAGTGTATATGTGTAAGTGAGAGGGAGCCTGTCTGGTGCGAAGTGAATGAGGATGCTAGTGATGGAGGCATACAATGAATGTGAGTGTCGATGCATGTGCGTCACTTCAGGTTGGCGAGGAGATAGAGAAGACTAGGGATGTCTTCTAAGATTGTGCAGGTCGTAGGTTTAGTTACTCTGAGTTTGCTACTAGTTCATTGTCTAGATTCTATTTAAGAGGTATGCAGGGGTTTGGTACTGCGAAGTTGATCCGCCCTCACCTTCCGCTTCCTCAGCGTTGTAACCGCCTTCTTAGGTGTAGTGCAACCAGCACTAGCATTACTACCGTGTATCACAGCTAGTTCATCTTTCAACGTGCCTTTGAGCCGGTCGACTATAAACAATTGGGTTAGTAGAGGCCACTTCAGGCTAGATGTTGGAGTGTTAGGGCTTTGTGATGGGAAATATTCTTAGAGAGTTGAGGGTAAGTAGTCAATGGCTTCGCTCAGTGTTACGAGCACATAGGTGAATAGTGTTGTGAGAATTGCGCACGCGTTTGTGCCCTACTCTTTATAAGAACTTTAACTATACGGATAGATTACATTTCGGGTGTCACCAAGGGAGAATCAAGTTCACTTGATGCAGGACACTGCCCCATTTAAATTTTCATTTGAATGATTGAGGTGGAACCTACTCGCCTCTTCTCACACGGTACACGTGCATGCTACGCGTACTCCCTTGCCTGATAGCCAGAAGTTTCAAACTTCCACATCGATGTTATCGATCTGGTTTTCCTCCTCCTTTGGTTCAGCCTTGACGTCCAAGTCCGCCTCGTCATCCTCGCTCTTGGGCGTAGCAACCTTCTTGCTCGGCCGGCCACGCGACTTCTTGATACTCGTGGGGGTATCCTCGCCGTCCTCCTGATCGGTCTTGTTGGGCTTGCGCTTGCGAGGGGTAGCAGGTGCCTTCTTGGGAGTTGCCTGAGGGACGGGTGCACCAGATGCCATGGCATCCCACTCTGGCCTGAACGCCCTGATGAGCTTATTGGTCTTCTGCTTGAAGCCACTGGCAGTGCGTTCGGGAGCGTAGAGACCATCCTGTGATGTGTTAGCTTAGGGTTTCCGCGCGTACTTTGCTTCCCGAGTTTGGGTACGTACATCCCAGTCGAGAGTGATGTTGTCCTTTTGGATGAGATACAAGAGGCTGGATAGCTGTTCGGGGTTAGTGTTGCTCTTTGTCAAGGTGTTTGCACTTACGATCTCACGTTCGGTCCATCCTTTGGGATTATTGGCGTCGTCCATGGCGTGGGTGGTGGATAGTTGATTAAGCTTGTGGGTGTGGAAACTGTGGGATTGGAGAAACAAGAAGAGGTTCGAGAGAATTTGGGGCTATATGTGTAAGTGAGAGGGTGTGTGTCTAGTTGAAGACCCACTGTTCAAAATTGTTAGCAAACGGACCTCACACTCACCACGTAACTAGAGCAACAGGCGTTTCAGCCTCACACTTCCGTCCCTCACTGCTCACATAGAATGTGTGTATGTATGTGGGTATAGTGTCGTAAAAATGCTAAAGATGCGTTCAAGTAAACATGGCGAATTGTCGATGAATGTGAGATACAACTAAAATTCTATCTAGTCACCAATTACTCACACTCAACTCTCTAAGAACGTCCCCTATTGTTAGACCCTAACACAACCACAACAACTACTATGCCGGTGCACATTGTTACTAGTGACCCTTGGGCAGAAGCTCCGATCCAAGCTAATAATTATAAGAGGAGGTCACTCATGTACAATAAATAATCATGCAATTCCATGAGTTTTAGTTCACCGTGCCTCTTCTATCATACTCTACCTTTTAGTTTAGCGGGAACGTACGATAGCGAAGGTATTCGCGGTGCACTAGGGTAGGACTCGTGGGTGCTGCACTCTCTAGACTCGTTCACTATGTATAACCTAAAATGTAGAATGGCACGCTGGTGAAAGAAGAAGAAGGAAGAGGATAAGGTAGTAACAGAACATAAGAAGAAGGTAGGAGATGATGAGGATAATGTTAAGGAGGAGGAGATTAAGGATGTAGTCTAAAGATGGTGCTAGGTCAGAGGTTTGGTCACTCTACGTTTGCTACCGGCTTATTATTTAAAGTTTACTCACTGCTTACACGATCGTAACAACCAGCGAAGCCGCCCAACAGCACAGGAAATTGTGATTGAAGCATACCACAATAATTTGAAATCATCTTCTAACACTAAACTACCAGATTAGAAAAGTACATGATGCGAGAGGCACAAGATATAAACTCCTCTTCACAGCATACCAGTGTAACTCCGCCCTATCTCTCCACCCCCACCCATTATCAAACCCACACTGAGTCGGCATCCCCACAATCCATCACCACCGACCCAGCCATCGCATCAGGTTTTACGCACATGAAGAGAAATACCAAGACACCCATCAACCCTTCCAAGCACAAGAAATACACTGATTACAGAAATACGACTAAAAAAAAAACCTATCCTCCTCACTACCCCCCGCCCTCCCATCCCGCACAACCACCCAACACTCCCCCCCAAATAGGCAAAGTCTCCTTTCTGCAACACTGTGGGGGGTGCGCAAAAAGGGCACCAGTGCGCCCCCTTTCCCTTCCCGCGCCAACCACCCCCCGGTCCCATGTCCCACCGCCTACTCCGTGGCCTGGGCTTGCCGGTGTATCTGCGGGATGGGGGAACCGGGGGGATGGTTGGCGGGCCTTCCCGTTAGTGTGTTACGCGGGCTGGGGGAAAAGTAGTAAGGTAGTAGTAGTGGGAATGTGACTTGTTGGCGTGTTAAGGGCATGGGTTGGGATTATGGGGGTTTTAGATTATTTCTTGGATGGTTTGGTGTGGGAGATGGATGAGTTTGGCGCTTTGGGGAATTGAGGAAGGGGGGAAATGAGATGGGTAGTAGACGAGGATTGGAGGGTTGTTGTGGAGGGTCTCCCGTGAATAACATAGTTTTTTTCTTCAGACGGGGAAGGGGGAATGGCGTGGTAAGCAAGTCTCAACAGAATATCATTCAGCTACAGTGCATCACCCAGGTCGCATTTTCACTCAAAGCACACTTCACAAAAAATTCAAGATATATAAACTCTAAACTTATTGCATTCTTGCCCTTTTTCGGTGTGCCCGGCTACACCGAGTAGAGAAATATCTACATGTACTACACGTTGTCCTGTGAGAGATAGGAAGCCATGAAATAGTAGGGTATCGAAACCATTCTAGTCCCTCGCCTAAGGAAAAGGAGGAAAACTTAGTCTCCCAATTTCCCTAGTGCCCAAATAATGTGACGACCGAAACCAAGGAAAAAAGAAGATGACATATTCAGCGATTAAAAATGTTGGCGCCAGAAATGTGTTGACAAAGAAGACAAGGAAGACTACAAGTGAGCCATGCCGTTGGTGACCTCAGCCACGCCAACGTGGGTGCCGTTGAGCTTCTCGTTTGAGACGAGTTGTGACATCTTGCGGTCAAAATATTGGTTCTCGGTGTGTGGGTCGTACATGCTCTTCTTGATGAAGTCATCGAGCTGCTCGTCGCTCATGTCGCGTAGTTCAACGGTACGGTCAACGCCGTTCTTTTGAGCAGCGCGGATAACACCGCGGGTGACAACGACGGAGACTTCACGGATACGGCGAATGTCAGGGTACAACCAGCCATCGGCAACCTCTTGCCTGTTCAAGGAGGTAGAGAGATACTCGGCGGAAGCGTAGATCATGTCTTGTGTAATGGAAACAGCCTTGGAAAGAATGGCACCAAGTCCGATACCTGGGAACACATACATGTTGTTTCCTTGGCCGGGGGTGAGCAGCTTGCCATCGTACTCCATTGATGGGAAAGGAGAGCCAGATGCGAAGAGACAGCGGCCCTCAGTGGCAAGGACGGCCTCCTCGAATGTGCACTCAGACTTGCTGGAAGGGTTGGAGAGGGGGAAGATGATGGGACGGTTGTTCAACGAGGCCATCTTCTCGAGAATGTCCTTGTTGAAAGCACCGCCAATGGTTGATAGACCCATGAGAATGGTGGGCTGTACGTAATCAATGAGGCGGCTGAGCGACTGGTATTGACGGCCGTTGTTGTCGTCACGAGCGAAGTAGACCTTGTGGTCAGCGAGCTTGTCGCCGCGGTCAAGGGTGACAAGTCCGTTTGAGTCGACGAACCAGAACTTGCGACGAGCCTCCTCTTCTGTCAGACCCTCCTTGATGAAATACTCAACAATCTGCTTGGCAACACCAACACCGGCACTTCCGGCGCCCAAGAAGATAGCCCGGTGGTCCTTTGCTGGGACACCAGAGGCCCTGACGGCGTTGATGAAGCCACCAACAATGACGGCACCAGTACCCTGGACATCATCGTTGAACATGGAGTATTGGTTCTGGTAGCGTTCTAGGGCGGGGAAGGGGTTCTTGAAATCTTCGAATTGAATGACGATGCTGGGTTATTATTAGTGTTTTGGCAGATGAGGCGGGGAAAAAGATTGCTACGTACCTGGGCCATCGGTCGGTAAGGGCGACCATGAGCTCGTCGAGGAATTCCTTTTCTTGCTCGGCGGTAATCTTGGGCATCCTGGAACCCATGTATAGAGGGTCATCACGGAGGGCCTTGTTGTTGGTTCCCAAATCGAGAGTGAGGGGCAGAGTGCTGTCGGGCTTGATACCAGCGCAAGCCGTGTAGAGAGCGAGTTTGCCGACGGGAATGCCCATACCGTTGACACCAAGGTCACCAAGACCGAGGATACGGGAACCATCAGTAAGGACAGTGATGTCAACCTCGTGTGGCCAGTTGTCGAGGATCTTGCGGAGGTTGCCGCGGTCGCTCCATGAGAGGTACATGCCCTCAGGTTGGGTCCAGATCTCGTGCCATCGTAGACAGGCCTCGCCGACGGTCGGGGTGTAGATGAGAGGAGTCAATTCCTGGGTACGTGTCAGTTGTGACTCTGCACAAATTATGGGTGGCATTTGCTTACCTTGATGTTCTCGCCGAGAAGTCTGTAGAAGAGGTGGACGTTGGTGGCTCGGAGGTGGACGAGGTACTGGAATTTCTCGAGGGGAGTGGGTTTCATGGCGAGGAGGCGGAGGCCTGAAGGGGAAATCAGCGATTGAAATCTAGAGGTCATAGTAGTGCAACTCACATCGGTCGGTCTGGACATCGTAGCTCTCGACGGCTGGAGGGGTGAGGCCGTAGGTGCCGAGACTGCGGCGGACGTCTGGGGTGTATGACATGTCATAGTCGCCCGAAGTTGTGGTCAACTTGCGGGCGTAGCTGGGGCGAGTGGCAGAAGGCATATTGTGAGTGGCAACTGTAGCCATGTATCGAGGGGAGGGTTTAGGGATTGAAGAGCGGAAGGCTTGGGCAGGAGCCGTCACTTTTATAAGCGACCTGTATCGGTGCATTGAGATGGGATGAAACTTCCGTCGGCAATTGAAAAAAGATGTCAGGGAAATAGGCCGCCTGGGGCGTGCGGAGGATTGGGGCTACATAACGAATAGCCTATCGGGAGGGGTCTGGGGTCCGCAAGCACAAGAGACAGCGTGAGGAGATCCGTTCTCGCCGTCAAGGTGTGCCTGTAGGGGAAGCATAGACCAGCCCGTTGCGTTGGTCAGCCTGTAACCATCACGCCAGTTACATTCTCCCCATCCCCAACCTGCCCACCCTTGCTCCCACCATGCTGAACGCCCGTCTCTTACCCGTCTAACGGCCATACGCCCAGATGAACCAAGCGGCTTGCAACGCATCTTGTCACGAAGACTGCAGACGACCGCTCTATCCTCTTGCCTGGGCTCCGACTACCTGAAACCGCCGACACAGACAGGCACGCCCATAATTTTTTCGACGTGCCACAGCCACAGCGGCCGGGTAGCAGGGATCATGGGGCAGACGTGCATATTGTCGGGAGCATTCGGAACGGACGCGTCTGGCTGGCCTTGCAGCGAACGCCGCATTATCCACCGATGGGCTCCAATCCCCATCCATGGCGCCCATTTGCTTCTGTCGGGCATATCCATTTGACACCTTCGCAATTAACCATCCGCCATCAAGCCCGTCTGGCCCTCTCTCTCTCTCTACTCGTGCTGTCGGGTTCCTGTTGTACTTCCGTCCCCTCGGGCTTCGTCTGCTTCAGCTCTCGTATCGAGCCACACCATAGTCAGGCATCGAGGCATTTTTCATCAACAAGTCTGTGTCCATGCATGCGTGGCCTTGATCCGCAACACGTTGTCTATTATTAATCGGCTTCGTCTTACGGGATTTGTCTCACGCCTCTTTGCCACGCACCAACAACCCGGAACAGTCTTGACGTTGCCCATCCTAATAGTGCGGCTTCCGGACTTTAGCCATGCTACCACACCGTATCTACTCTACGCATCCTCTGGCGGATCCGCATTCGGCTCCATCCATCTATACGCCGATCCGACGACTTGCTAGTCGCCCAAGGCGGTGTGCTTTTTCCCAGTGCCAGTACCACGACCCGCGGACGCAATTTTTTTAACGCTCAACTCACATTGCCCCTGTCCCCTTGACCTTTCGCCAATTTAGGCGGACGGGAGGTGTCAGGGGAAGCCGGCGCGATCGCAATCTGCGCTCCAAATCTGTAACAAAAATAACGCAACCAAAAAATAAGGCAGCTGCTGAATGGCGCCCCAAGTCCGACCCGGCCCTCGCCCTTCATACCGTCCAGGTACATGTCATGTCTCAATTGCAGTGGCCGCTCCTTTCTTGTGCGCGAACCTCCTAAAAAAGACGCTGTCTCGGACAAACATTCGACAGCTGCATATGCGGCCAGGGTGGATCGTCCGCAGTTGTGGGGAAAGCTTGATGGCCTCCTTGGGTAAAAGTAGGCAAAGTTAGCCGCCTCGGGCACGTGTCCAGTTCGTTCTCTTCCGAGAAATGGGGCACACGACTCCACAACTTGACAGCGCCACGGGAGGTTACGGAGCTCCTCGGTGAGCGTCCTCGCAAAATCATGTCAGCGCTACTTACCCGCAGCTTGCGAATCAAACCCAAAGCAGCCCTCTTACATGGTCCTCGACCTCTTGTCCAATGCCTTGGGCGTGCAGCAGAACTGTAACCGTCATGCAACTGTCAAGTCTCACCGTCTCTTGACAACCCCGGCAAGCGAGTCAGGCCTAATCCGATCTAGAATGCCCAGGCCTTACCTGACGCATGGCTACAAGAATGCAGTAGGGGTTCTTTCAGGGCCCTTCTTCAGTGGACCGCTTCCCCGGCAAGAATGCAAAGTCGCTCCAGTGATCTGAACACGGCGTCTATGCCTGAGAAAATCCCTCTCTTTGGCACAATGGCACCTACAGATGGAGTAATGCACGATGCGCTGGAACTTCTAGAACTTCCCGATGGAAAAGCATCCAGCGGGCCCATGCTCTCTCGGCGGGCCCATCGCTATTGCGTGCTAGCTGGTAGTAGCACGCGACAGTGGTGCGGGGAAGTCGCCTGTGGCTGTGGCTGTGGTGGCTGTGATGAGTTGCGAGATCTAGATTTCTGGCGAGTGCAAGCTCGACCACTAGCTACTTTGACCAAACCCTGCTTTGGCCTGTAGCCTTGATGCACCGCCCTTGTCCTCGTCATAGACGCTCAACAAACAATCTTGTCTTGGTTTTGACCGTGCTGGCACTCGAAGCCTCAATTCTACAAGCGCACACACATCGGATGCGCCTGAATACTGTGACAGTGTTGCTTCGACTGAGTAGATGCCTTCGAGAACTGTTCTATGCGATTGCTGAGATGAGTGATGTGCAGCAAGGTACTGATATGCTTATACGTATACGTACATTAACATTCACATGCACATGAGACCTGGCATATAGTGTGTATGTTGATATGCACTTATCCTCCGCAAGACCAGGAATGGGAGCGGCAGCCTTGGCGCATGTGGAGCCGCGGGATCGACGAACGGCATGACGTCGTTAGCTCCCTCTCGTCATCCTGACCTACGCGTTATGATCGAGCCTTAAAAGAGCTGTTTACAACCATTCCACCTCAGCTGCATTTCTCCGAGGCAAACTCCAGCTGCAATCACCATATCATGGCACTCTCATCGTGCTTCGGGAGACGCAAACGCGACGACGATCAGCGCCCGCTGCTGCCTCAGGTATGTATACACACGTCTCGTCGATTCACATTGTACGCGCTAATCTCACATGTCAGTACCGCGATGACACAGCACTGCAGAGAGAGGTGCACCAGAAGCTGCACTCGTATCAGATGATACGTGCACTTTCCATGGGGTTCATGCCATCTAACGAACAACTCATCATCAACCTCCGGAGCTTGCTATCTGCAGACATCCTAAACCCAGAAAACCCCGAACTGAGCGACTCTGGTCGTCTCCTAGTCAAGTTTACGAAGCAATGGCTACACCAATTCATTGACACTCTGAATCACAAGAACAGCAAGGACCAGATCCAAGACTTCCTCTGGTACCTTTCCAAGTCCAGGGTATCTGTAGATGTGGAAGATATTGCACGAAGGGCGACCAGGTCAAAAGCAAAGGCCGATGCTACTGCAGGTCAGTACGTGTCCTTGATTTTCACAGAATGAAGCTAACATATCAGCAGCCTACCACAGCCTGCAGACTGTCGGATCGTTGCTCCTAACCAATTCCGACTTCCGCATCTTCCTTGCTGACCTGAACACTGTCGGCCGGGAAGTATTCAGAGACACCGCTTTCACACTATCAAACGTATCCAAAAAAGCGGCTAAGAAGATCGAGCCTTCACCAAAAGAACAAAAGGCACTCAAGGAACCCGGTGCGGATGAGGCTCTGGCACACTCCACTGAAGAGATAAATGATCAGCTTGCAGAGGTCGCCCAAGTTGTTGGCAATGGGGTTGCCAAGGTTGCTAAGAGGGCAGACGTAAGTTTGGCCGAGAAGCTTCAGGGTGACGAGGGCGAATCACTCTTGTACCGCTTGAAGAAGACGATCACAAACCTAAGGCAAAAGAGGGATTACAACGACTCCGTTTCGGTGCTCGCAACGCTATTGAAGCGGTACGCGATGGCATACTCTCGGACCGTAGAGGATGCTATGGGTGCTCTCGAAGCTGACGTCGAGCCAAATCGAGAAATGGAGAGGGCCGTTAAGAACTTCTGGACCTTCCTGAGCTCATTTGGCGACAAACAAGAGTGGAAAAGGCTCGAGGATGCATTCCATAAGGTTTTGGAACACTCGCGCAAGGATCCCGAATTCGAGGATTTGCTCATCGACGTTGGAAACTCGCTGCAGAAACTTCTCACCGACCCCGACTTCTTTGACCACGTCGACGAAAAGTTCCAAGAGCTCCGAAAGAAGGCCAATGGTGTTGGATCGGAATCATCGCTTCGCCAGGATGTAGACGCGTTTTTCGTACAAGCCCAGAGCACCTTCATGGCTGTCACCCACGACCAGGACATTGCAAAGATGATCAACACGACGATGAAGATCTGGAACATACTGTCGCCCCTACACAGCAACATTAACAGTGAGCTCGTTCAAGATGCAATCAATGTTTTCGTCCCTCTTGCCATCCAAGCTATTCAGTACATCCCCATCCCTCGCCTGGAAGTATCCACACCCGAAATCGATATGCTCCTGGAGAACTTGATTATAGAACCTGGCAAGACTGTGAACCACACATCGTTCCTTCCGTTCCGCTTCCGAGTAGAAACCTACAACGATTTCGAACTTCGCAAGGCCCGTTTCCGTGTTGCGTCCAAGGCTACGTCCAAGTTTACCATCAAGATTGACGGTCTTTCGTTCCGTGCAGATGAGGTCGGTTTTCTTCTCCGCGCACACTCTGGCCTCCTTCGCCTTGCGGATGAGGGTATTGCTTCGTTCCAACTCGACGAGCGCGGTATCGATATTCATTTGGATGTCGAAGTCGGCAAAGAGAAGTTGGAGCAGATTCTTACGCTCAAGGCTGTCCGTATCCACATCCACAAGCTTTCGTACACGCTACGCAAGTCCAAGTTCAGCCTCTTTGGCTGGCTCCTCAAACCCCTGTTGCGCCCCGTCGTCCGCAAGGTCATGGAGAGGCAGATGGCCAAAGGTATCGCTGATGCTATCCACGCCGCCAACCGTGAGCTCATCTTTGCACGCGAGAGGCTTCGAGCGACGAGGATCTCTGATCCAGATGACCTGAAGACGTTTGTCAAGGCCGTCATCACACGTCTCACACCGGCCGATGACCCCGACCTTTACACGAGGGTTGGTGTTGACGCACCGAAGAAGGGTATCTTCGCTGGCAAGTATGCACCAGGCAGTGTGGCCAAGCTATGGGAGGAAGAGGGTCGTCGTGCACCAGAGCGCATTGATGACTGGGACGAAGGCGGTTGGAGGAACGATGTCTTCGATCTCCATGCCATGGCACTTTCCTAAACACTTTCTATTCTAGCAGACGACGATTGATTTGCACTTTCGACAAAATGGCTATTCTGGTATGGGTCAAGTCTGAAACCATGGTTTTGTGGTATGTTTTTTTTCTAATCCAAATGGGTTGTGTTCCAGCAAGCGGGCTATGCGGTTACGGATTTTCCTTAGGAGATGGTTCTACGGGGTAATAGTTTACGCATCATCATGATGGTTACGAGTACATACTTATTCTAATCAAAATGCAATCCGGTTATTGTATTGATGGTATCGTTCAACTCAAGTCTAGTCATGTGCAGATATATCAAGAGGGTACCAAGGGGCTGTGTGTGTGTGGTTTCGCGCGAACAAGTGCTCGTTTTTTTCATATTCTTAGTCTACGGCATAGAGAACCCCCAACTATCATACAATATGTACCATGCTCGAACCGCAAGCTCTGGTGCTTCATCAAGTGTTTTTTTAAAATAACAGCAACAACCATCTACTCGCAAAAAGCGCAAACAAAAGCCCCATCTCCATTTTGCTGGGGGGTCAAATATCCTCAAGATTGTACACAGACCCCCACCCCCCCCACTGCTCAAGCAGAACGATGCTTAAAACGGAGGCAGCCAAAAGGGGTATGAAGGATTCTTGACACGAAAGACGCTCATGAGGAAGCTGTACATGCCAAAAAGGACACCAGTCCACAAAAAGACGGCCAGCGACTGAGCGCGCACATCCTGGATCCTGGGGACCTTGACAGCCAGCGAAATAGCGGCAAAAGCAAGGACACCGTAGATGGCAGCGACGATCTGCGACTCGAGGCCGTACTGGTTGCTGAAGCCGCCTGCAAAGTAATTGATGCCACCTTTGTTATCACCAACAACGTAGGGCGTCTTGCGGATGTGATTGAACATGTGGCCACTGGTGAAGAGCAACACGGCAATCAGACTAACGGCAGCCCAGAGATTGCGGTTCTGGAGCAAAGGGACGACGTATGGCGAGGCAACGAAGATGGCAGTGATGCCGCCGAGGACCGAGGTGGTGATGGTGATAACCCTGACCCAGTTGATGGGGCGGGATACGGAGGGTTTGGGGAGGCCATCAGGGACTTGGCGGGCGACCCAGGCGTGGATTTGTTCAGCGGTTTGAGGACCGCCGGTGAAGTCGAAGCGGGCGGGTTGCGCGTCGACTTTTGCGTGGGGGCCGGCGGTGGGGTGGAAGTAGAGGAGGACGGGGGCGGTTTGGAGTTGCATCTATGCTTACTATTAGCTTCTACTATAACAGAAATAGTAAATGGCGTTGAATTCAGCGGGGGTTTGCCTCATACCGATTGAAAGACGTTCTTTCCGTCGACAAAGTCCAAGGTACCAAAGACAAGTCTGGACTGGCCGTCTTTGTCGCCCTTTGTCCAGCTATTACCCAGTAGGTCCCATTCTGGCTGGAAGCTCCGGCAGAGTGCACATCCGAACCTGGGCTCCAATGCCGTGAGTAGTACAGCAACACCGTAGTCTCTCGGCGACTTTGTTAGTTGGGCGTAGCTGGCATCGTTGAGCTTGAGCGGGCGGCCGGTAGACAGCGATTTGGCGCGGGCGTCATTGAAGCGGTCGCCGGCGGGCTTCTTGGCTGCGAGGGCTACAAAGGGCAGCAGCGATGCTGTGAGGAGCGTGAACCACCGCATTGTGTCGTGTAGCGGGTGGGGTGGATGGTTGTTGCTGGGAGACGTTTGTTCGAGTAGACTCAATGCTTGGGAACGTGGCCTTGACGGTTGTCGGAGCTTGCGGGCCTGCGTAATGGCGCTAAGGGCGGGCAGGGATGTGCGCGACTTGCCGCCGCTGCAGCCCTCCATGGGGACAAACACCCGTTGCCATTGTGAACCAGGCTCCGATTAAGCAGTGACTGGGGACAGGTGAATGCGATAGTAATCTTGAAAACACTGTGCTTGTACAGCGACCTGCATTTTCATTCATTTTTCAAATTATCCTACTCTTTCATCCCGTCGCGCTACTACTACGACTCGGCCCGCACTTCTCGGCGCTCTGTTTGTTTACCCAAGTCGCGTCTCCCGCAAACCCCACCACCATCAGTTCTACACCCCTTCACATCACAAAGCAGATATTACACCATGGTCGCAACCATGGATGCTGACATCGATAACAATTATGAAATGAAAGATGTAAGTGCGAGAGAACTGGGCCGTTGCTTCCGACTCTTCCCAACTAATTCCCCCCTTCTCAGCTTCAGCATGCGCTGCGAAACGCAAACTTGGAACTCAGCCTTGAAAGGAGTAAGCATTCGGTCGAGATTGTAGCCAAGGATGAGGAGATTCGGAAGCTGCGAGTTGCCCAGTGCCTTCTGCAGGACGAAAACAGCGACCTCCACGAACAACTCGAGGAAGAGCAAGGCCGTGCAGACGAACTGGACAACGCCCTTGATGACGCCCTCGCACAGCTGGATGAGCAACGGGCCGAGGGTGAAGCTGCACAAAACACAATCCGTACCCAAGCGCGGGAGATCGCGAATCTCAAGGTGAGCACGTCAAGCACACCGGCCAAAGCGCCGCTAACAATGACTAGGCCGAACTGAAAGCCATGGAGAACGTAACCTCCGACTCCAACAAGATCCTCTCCGACAAACTCGCCCTATCTCGCGAAATCTCATCGCTGCGCCCTGAAGTTGAACACCTACGCGCCCAAGTCGAATCAAATACAGGCCTGCTCACTGAGAAGCTGGCCCTGCAACGTCAGCTAACCACACTCCAAGCCGAGCTCGAGAACGAGAAGCGCACTGCCGCACGTGCACTGGCGAAGCAAGGAAAGAAGATGGAGCAGGATGAGGAGTTGCGCGGCGAGTTGGAGGAGGTGCGCCAGGAACTCGCCACCGAGAAGAAGGAGCGGATGAGGGCAGAGGTTGGGCTCGCAAAGGCTGAAAAGGCAATGGAGAAGGTACATGCTGATCTGGAGTCGCAACAAAAGTCAACGGAACAACTACAAGCCAAGGTTGAGAAGCTGTCAAAGAAGGAGGCTAGCAAGGCCAGCAAGCGCGATGAAGCTCATGACGCTGCGATTGAAGAACTGCGCCAGGAGTTGGAGCAAGAAAGGACTGCACGTTTGCGAGCAGAGAAGGCTAATAAGAACACTGGAGATCGTAATGCCGAGATTGAACAGCTACGTGAAGAACTAGAGCAGGAGAAGCGCGAGCGTCGAAAGGCCGAGAAGTCATCCAAGCAGGGTTCCCAATCGACAGACACCCAGGTCGAGGCTGTACGGAAAGAACTCGAAGAAGAGAAGCGTGAGCGTAAGAAGCAAGAGAAGGAGTTCAGCAAGACACTGGCAGAGCTTCAGGGCCGAAACACTGTGCTTGATGACAAGTTGAGCGCCTTCCGCGAAAAGCTACGGACGACCAAGGAGAAGCTCAAGGAGAAGGAGGCTGAGCTTGAAAGAGCAGAGAGGGCGCAGACGGCACCACCCGCTAAGAGCAAGCCGACAGTTGCAGCCAAAGCCGCCGTGAAGAATGCCCGGAAACGTGTCGCTGCTACTGCCGAACCCGAGACGATGCTGGGTACGCCAGGAGACGGCTTCCCTGCGAAGAAGGCTAAGCGTGGTACCTCAGTGTCTGCAGTTGGCGACACATCGACGTTTTCTTTGACACCATTCCTCAACCGTGCTGGTAATGTAACAGCTGCCAGCCCCATTGTTGAGGAGGATGAAGCAGAAGATGACGAGGCGGAGGAAGAGGCCGTCCAGGAGCAAGCCACTCCTACAGCACCGCCCAAGAAGGCTTCAAAGACTGCTCAGCCCAAGGTCAAAGCGCTGGCCCCAGCTGCGTCGAACAAGGCCAATGCAAAGCCTCGCAAGAAGAACCCTGCTCCTGCCCTGGAAATGGTCACGGAGGAGGTTTCTGAAATCTCACACAACACATCCAAAGAAGAGTCTGAAAACGCACCCGTGTCTATCCCGCTCAAGGACAACGACGGGCCTTCGAAGAAGAGCACTAAGATCAAGCCTCGCAAGTCTCTCATGTCGTTTGCCACATTCGCCGAAGAGCCAGCAGCGGAAAAGAAGAAGAAGCGTAAGCTCGGTGCTAGTGCTGGCAAGACACTATTTGATGCCGAGGATGGCGAAGACGCTGTGGCCTTGAAGCCCGTAGGTATCAGCAAAGGTCTTTTTGCTGCGCGCGCACTGGGCAAGAGTGTGTTGGGCAAGCAGGGTCAGCAACGACCTATTTCTGGTGGGTTCGGCATGATGAGTGAGGAAGCGTTTACGTTTTCACCACTCAAGAAGGATCGGAGGGGAGCGAGTATCCTCAAGTAACTTGTTCTGAAGTTGGGTTACGCGGAATCTATGTTGCAGCCGATATTATTATGCGGAAATTGAATATTGTTATTTCAAAGGCGTTGGTTGGAGGTTTGCTTATTCTTGCATGGTTGGAATGGGAGTTTTGTTTTGTCTTCGACTCCGAATAGACGTGCCAATTGGGCGACGGTGTCATTGTATGATTATGTGGTATGGGCCCATCTAGTTATCCAGTAGCTTCGTATATGCTATCTAAAAGTAGTTTCAGGCCTGCCTTTGTTGTCTCTTTCACTCCCCAGGTTAATCGTAGTTGGCTTATTTTGTGTCTACTACCAATCAGCATACACAGGTACACCTCGTCTTCGTCTCTACGCCGGAAAACAAGCGCAGTCCAACCTTAAAAAACCCTCGCGTTAGTTCCTCCAACACGGCGCTTAAAACAAGGAAACCCTAAGGCGCTTGAGGCGCCCATGTCGCGGCGCGTCAAACAAACAAAAATCCACTAGAATACGAGATTTGTTAACCCAAATACCGTGGCTATGGCGCAGCTGTGCGGCGTAGTTAGCAGTGGGGAGACCCCACGCCTTGTTATGTATACGGTTAGGAAATAGGCGTGTGCGCAGTAACGTCAGGCCAACATCAGCCAGCGCGGTCCTGAGTTTGCCATAAATAAAGGATAGTGTCTTTTCTAGAACACAGCACAGGGAGGGAAGGAGGGGGGCTGGGCTACGATGGAAGACATGTGGAAGGTTGAAAGGTGGGAGGGGAGGGGAGGCCTAATCAGGGCTATGTTATGATCACTAAAGCCTGAACGTTGAGGCACTAAGTTACCCTTTTTCTTCTCACCGGTGATCACTAAGAGCAGGATAAGGGTAAGTTCGCTCAAGGCGCAGTTGCGCGGTGCTGCTGGGCCAGTGTGTGTGTGTGACGCCGAAAACGTTTGGTGATTGGGGGGCGTTCGCCGGACCCGAGTAAATCAGAGCCCAGGTATGCGAGATATACGAAAGTTTTGTTGATGGGGTAAAAAGGAAAATTGGGAGGGGCTTGGGGGATGGATAGCTGTATGTCGTATGATCATTGTATGCAAGCGTAGACGCCATGCAGATGCATGTATGCGATATCCAACTGCGCGCATAGTTGAGAAGAAGGAAAAAAAATGACAAAGGGATGGATGGAGTTTGCTAGGAGGAAACTGTGCCGCTGGAAGCCTCCACCAACTGCTTTGGTAATACTACCGCGCCTCATCAGCATTGTTGTAGATGGTGTGGCGATGGCGCGCTTAGGGAAACGAGACAAAATGGCCGTGAAGGGCATTTGGGTCTGGAGGGACAAGGGTGTTGTTCTCTCTTCGCCACATGGACGCCCCACTGGCGGGACAGGGCTGCATGTATACCCCAGTCATGATGCGCCAATATGTGTACCTCGGCGCCGAGATAGAAGGAAGACTGCAATTAGGTGATACGTGACCCCGACAGTTGTCAAGTCGCTGACGTCGAAGATAATGGAGGGCGTGTGGCGGGTTTTGGTGGTGGTCGGTTGGAGTGTGCCGAGTGTGCCTTGGGAGTCTTGTTCTGCACGTCATGAGTGGATGGGTGTGAGTGGGCTTGGGGGGGGGGGCACCGAGTTACCCGTGTGTCTGTGTGTAGGAGGCCTTGGAGGCGAATAAGAATTTTGTCTTTCCGTGAGGGTTGGAAATGTCATAGAGGAGTATGGACAATGGTGATGGAGAATAGAAGCGGGATGTGGGGTTGCTATATGGTAAGTCGACCAGAATTGAAGATGGCAAGTGTTCAAGATGGAGTTGACCCAAACTCGCACCTCTCAAAGATGTTCACATGACGGCTTGAATCACCAATAAATTGTATGCCTCCATCCACATTTACCAAGTCCCGTGGGAAAGAGAGGAGTATAGCACAGCCCCAAGAAGGCGGCCCAGCTGCCGCACATCCTCAGGCTGGGCTAGCTTCCCCGCTTTCCCAAAGCGTGAATATCAGTTGCTCAGTTGATCGCGCATATAAACCAACCACATCCTGCCTGACACGTTTGAAGAAATGTCCTCTCACACTGCAGATTCCATCTCCTCTACAAAACCCATTCTATCAAGCAACGGAAAGAACCCAGCAAATATGAGCGACATTAATGGAAAGGCTCCCATGCCAGGTGCAAGCAACGGAACATCGACCGTCCACGAGCCCATTATCAAGGTTCAGCCCCCGCGACGAGAAGATCTTCAGCCCAGCTATGCCCGTGTTATTCAGCCCGACGATGCGGATGCCGATACAAATGGATGGTATGGCGGCATGGTAAGTTTATCCTCTCCTCGCCCCCCCCCCCCCCCCAACAGTGTAGTTCTTTCCATACTACTAGTGTGTACACATGGAGTCACGTGACTAACACCCGCTCCCCCACCCCCCAGATCAACACTCTCGGCAACCTAATCGGCACCTGCGGCGCCATCCCCTGCTGCATCGTCTGCCCGAACCCCTACAAGCCCGTCAACCAAGGCAACGTCGGCCTCGTCACAAAATTCGGCCGCTTCGCCCGCGCCGTCGACCCGGGTCTCGTCTACGTGAACCCCCTCTCTGAGCACCTCGTGCAAGTCGACATCAAAATCCAGATTGTCGAGGTCCCCAAGCAAGTCTGCATGACCAAGGACAATGTGTCGCTGCAATTGACATCGGTGATTTACTATCGTATTACTTCGCCGCATAAGGCGGCGTTTAGTATTAGTAATATTCGCCAGGCGCTCGTCGAGCGCACACAGACGACGCTGAGGCATGTGGTGGGTGCGCGCGTGCTGCAGGATGTGATTGAGCGGCGCGAGGAGATTGCGCAGTCGATCCGCGAGATTATCGAGGAGACGGCGCTGGGATGGGGTGTAGAGGTTGAGTCGATGCTCGTCAAGGATATCATTTTTAGTCAGGATCTCCAGGATTCGCTGTCCATGGCGGCGCAGAGTAAGAGGACGGGTGAGGCCAAGGTTATTGCTGCCAGGGCCGAGGTTGAGGCGGCCAAGTTGATGAGGCAGGCGGTATGTTTCTTTCCTCTTTTTTTTCTCTTTTTGTTTTAGCATTCCTCGATATTACCAGAGGAAGAAAAGTGGTATACTGACTCAAAGACAGGCTGATATTCTTTCTTCCGCCCCTGCGATGCAAATCCGCTACCTCGAGGCCATGCAATCCATGGCCAAGTCTGCAAACTCCAAGGTCATCTTCCTCCCTGCCCAGAACCAAACTGTGCAGAATGCACTTGCTCAGGCTGAAGCTGCGGGCCAGGGCCCCAGTGCCCATGGTTTCCAGTCCTCTACGGCTCAGGAGTATGGAAGTAATGATCAGGGCTTCCAGAGCGCTATCAATGCTCATGTTGTGGAGAACATGTAAAAGCAGTACGGTGTGGTTATGACTTGTTCTTTTTGTGTGTGTGTGTGTGGATTTCTGGTTTAGTGGCAGGTTTTGTTGATACCCTACTCCCCCTCGCCTTCCGCAATTTCACTCGCTTGTAATGTATGATTGATTTTTCTTTGGCTAGGAAGTATAGGTACAATGGTAATGATATGATATAATGAAATACCAAGTCAAGATATTGTACATACTTCTTCTGTTCTCCCCAAGTGTATCTAGAGAGTCCTGATACATATAACACAACGACAAATCTTCACTCACTCACTCACTTATCAGCCCTATTCATACCATTAAGTTTGAACATTTTTATTGATCCGCTTCGTTAAACGTCATCTATTTGCAAAAAAAAATGCCAGTCAACATGTACAACCTCCTCATAGGCCTGATTTGGGCTTTTTTTTGCACAAGTCCTTTGCCTCTCCCCCCCCATCCTTCCCCATTCCCGTCTTGATACATACACATCTCCTCCCTTCTTCCTATCAACAATCAATCAATCAGAAAAGAACAACCTTCCCAAAAATAAAAACGCTCCAAAATGCAACATATTCCGCCAAAATCCAACACAACCAAATGTGTCAGAAAAATGGGGAGTGGAAAAAATATATAACAGAAGAAGCCCCTCCCTCCTTTTGACTTTTCTCCTTCCTCGTTAAGGAAAAAAAGATTTCCCAGCGACGTGATGTGCAAAGAAGTTGATGCTAAGAAGAAAATAATTCGCTGTAAATGTGCAAACCCAGAAAGAAGACCGAAGATGAGAAAGAATATATGAAAGAAAATGTACGGCATAGGGAATCAAAAGGCGCTGGATGAGCAGTTGGGCGACGATGGACTGACCGTCGGGGAAAACAAAAGAGGATATGCGATCAAGTTTTTTGTTTAAGAATAATAAGAACGAAAACTAAGAAGGAAGCACAGACTTGTCCGTCGTGGCTCCGTTTGCCAGTATTGGCCGGATTTCTTTTGGCTGTGATTCGCCATAGGCCCATTTTGTGGCTGCGTTGGTAAGGTTTGCGCAGATTGGATCGACGTATTTAACCCATAGAGAGGCGCAGCGGTACAGTATGTAGTAGAACACGGCAATGGCAATGAGGATATGGGGAATGGATCCGCGCTGGAGATCTTGCATTTCTCCCTTTTCGTTCTTTGGTGGGTTCATTGCCGAGGGCAGGTAGATCATCCAGGTCAAGACCGTCTTGATGAGTGTGTTGTGAATCAGGTAGACAGGGAAGCTGACACGACCTAGGAAATTGAAGACAGGCGAGGTAAGCACTTTGCGTGCGTTTTTCGAAAAGAAGATACCGAGCAGGATAGTGGCGGCGCCCAGGTGATCCCAGTAGCGTCGGATATCCGTCTTCTCGGCTGTGAGCGTATGCATAATTGTGGCCATTGTTTCAGACCAGTGTGCGTTTTGGAAAGAGTCTTGGGGAAATCCGGCCATGAACATGCCGAAGACTATTAGCATCGCAGGAATAGGCGCGGGTAGAACCGAGGTAGCCGAGTCTTTGTAGTGGTTGTGTAGCTCGGCAACGAACATGCCGAAGACAATATTCAGGCCCTTGATGGAGCCGACCGTGAGTTCTGTTGCAGTCAGCAATTGGCCTGGCGTTGGCGCTCGTTGGAAAGTCAAGCTTACCTTTTCCTACTTGCCAAAAGTAGGCATACAATATTGCGTAAATGAGGAAACGCGCCTTGGGCCTGACAAGGACCGTGGCGAACATGGTCGTGTATACAAGGAATGCGCCCTCGAGAAAGAGATGCAGTGTCCATTGTGTGCCGTCATATTCGTCCCAGCCGATTACCCAAGTCTCCGTCTGCGCCTTGAAGAGAGACTTGAGCGCCATCCACAGCGAGGGTTCCTGACGGTGCCAGCCCTGTCGTATCCACTGGGCGTCAACGTGCTTGGTCATGTGGTATGCGTTTGTCTGGGCCAGGAACCAGCTGATTACGGTAGCGATCATGGTAGGCAGGATCAAACGTCCAGAGCGGGCCAATGCACTACGGGCGATACCGTGGAACGCTGCCTCGTGGTTGCCGGCGCGCGACTTTGAAATGGCACCAATCGAGTTGACATAGCCGGTGACGAGGAAGAAGATGGCGACGGCGCTGCGCCCGCCGACAGCGAGGCGGAAAAAGGGTAATTGGAACAGGTGGGGAGCGGTTTTTGCGTCGGCAGCTGGCTGGTGGAGCCAGGGTACAAAGGCGGTGCAGAGATGACCGCATACCACCATGAAGGATGCTACACCTCGGAGGCCCTACAGGACGCAATGTTAGTCGACGTGAGATAAAAAGGCTATCCGGGGCGGGTGTAACTTGCATCTATCCAGTTGGCGTCGCGAGGAGGCATTGTGTGTGTGTGTGTCGTTACGCAAGCAGCGATCAAGGGTATATAAGAGAGAGGGTGCGTGTGTACGTATGTGGTTGCGTATGTGTGCGTGCGCGCGTGGAGAAGCGATGTTGTGTAATGAATGCAGGGTTCAGGAACAGTAGGATAGAGTCAGGCGCATTGCCGATGCAGTGCGAGATTCCGGGGTTTGAAGAGGGTGGTGTATCCCCACTCGAGTCCAAGTCCGGGTGGATGTGTATGCCAGTAAGTGGTATGTAGTCTGCAGCCCAAAAAGAGGAAGCGAGAAGAAGCAAGGAAAAAAGGACCCAAGGGAGATTGTGTAAGATTGAAGCGGGGGGGGGGCAGATAGAAGAGGTGAGGGCGGGGAAGGGGGGTGGATAAGAAAAGAGAAGGAAAAGGCAGACGAGAGGGAGAGTGAGAGGGAGAGGGTGGTGGTGGAGTGGTGGTTAGCGGGATGGGATGGAGCCAACGAGTCGCATTTGGCCCAGCAGTCGACCCTGGGCCTGAAGCAAGGCGGGAGGGGGAAAGGTGGGCAAGCGGGCAGCAAGTGGGCAAGTGGCTTAACACGTCGTGCCAGGAACGCGTGCACTGCGCCAGATAGACGCGCCTCACTGGGCAATGCGAGCGCTGTGGGCCGCCTGCCAAGCTGGAGCCTCGGGAAGGCGGCTGCTAAGCTCTCATGCCCATGCGACTCCCAAGCAATGCAAGGACATGACGGCGGGCCCCGTCGATGCTTGTCCATGTACATGCCAATAAGTACTTACGTCCAAAGTATACGTTACATATCTGCATACACTGCCGATACTGCCAAGTACTACATCACGCATTCATAAGCCTCTGTTTACTGACACATCTACATAGGTATAAGGATATACATTATTACACCTACTCTACACCTCCTCCTCCTCTGCTAGTCCACCACCACGACTCGCCTTCCGCCGTCTCTGCGCCCCAAGAATACCCGCACATGACTAGTCATCATCACTCATCACGCTACTCTAGTCTCTCTCTCTCTCTCTCCCCCCCTTCGGACACGAGAAAAGAGCGATAAAAAAAATTGCCGTCCCTTTCAACGAACGCAATCCCCGTGTCCCCTTGACGCCACCGTGCTAGGCGAAATGCAGTGCCACTACGCCACTAGGATGCGCCCAAGCGGGATAACGCTCGCCTTCTTGGCACGCTGACGCGGACCTCCGCTCTACCCGATACCAAAAGAACCCCCTGAAGTCAGGGGCTGGCCGTCCTGCCCGTGTGCCTGTGTGAAACCCCCCTCGGTTGCCCACAAAACCTCCCCCGCTGCAAAGTCATTGAGCCCATCAAGGACGTGCCGTTTCAACTTGGTCAGGCAATTTCCCCATGTCGCCATCTTGATCGTCGTCTGCCCTGCTTAGCTTTGCTTGGCTGTTTTGGGTCCCAGGGATTTGATGTTTTTACGGGGTAGAGCCGTTGGCTTCGTTGCTAACGTATGTATGTAAGCCTGTACGTACCACGCTGGACTCAGTAGATACGGGCTTGGAGAGAATACGACATAGGGCCATGAGACGAGCACGAAGAGGGAAAGTATATCTTACCTTCCGTCTCTAGCCACTCACTCCGCGCCTCGTCTCTTTGTTTATCCATTGGCACAGCACGCCTAACAATCAACGATCCGCTATCGGTCAATATAGTCTCTGTTAATCTCTTTCTTGTTGCCGCAACAAATAATGAATAGTAGGGGAAAAAAAAGGGGGAAAATGGGGACAAGCGAATATCATTTCATCCTTTGGCTAAATTACGCAAATACTACTCTATCATCACACCCACACTCGCGCTTCCTCGGCCTTCCCCACCATTTGTCAAACCCCTCCCCCCCCCATTTACAAACTCCTTCAACTCTGCATCTCCCACATTCAAAGCAATACACAACAAATTTCGAGAAGAAAAGGCAAGAAAAAAACAATAACGATTCGTATCGAATAAATTGCAAAAGGCCGAATATATAATCCATCGCATCCCATATACGACACCGTACACAAGCCAGAAAGGAGCCCTTGGCTGCAAAGGAAAAAAAAACGCCCTCTACGCCACTTGTCCTCTCTCTTTCTCTCTCTCTCTCTCTCTCTCTCTCTCTGCACTCTTTACACTCTGCCTTCCCTTCTCTGGTATGAAAAACGTAGCAATAATAGTACAAACCCAAGCATCCACATTCCCCCAACTAGCAGCACTGTGCGGGCGCACCCGTCTACCTCCAGAACGCGTCCTACGCATTCTCGCCTTCGCCGTTGTCATTATGCATCTCCGTCCCATGGAACGCATCGCCAAATGCACTGTCATCTACTAGATCTAGCCCAAGATTGTCGTCGTGCCCGTAGTCGGCCAGAGCATCCCCCGCACTGTCCAGGTTGTCGAAGCTTCCAAAATCCGCTCCGTCAAACATACTGCCTGCATCCGCCTCTAGATTGGTTGCTGCAATCCCACTGCCCCCACTACCACCTGCTGCACCGCCGTTACTTCCATTGTTGCTTGCTTGGTTGTTGTTGTTGTTGTTGTTGTTGCTGCTGCTGTTGTTCACGTTGGCTTGCTCGGTATTGCCGCTCGCTTGTTGTCCATTTCCTGCTTGATCATTCACCATCACCCACTCGTCGCCCTTGTCCCCAGCTCCCGCCATGCCAGACATCTCCACGTCCAAGTCAAGTAGGTCTGCCCCCACATCCAGGTTGCTATCTTGTTGATCAAACGTTGCCGCCTGGTTCGTGTTGCCGTGCGGTGCGTTGGGTGTTCCGTTCGCAGATTGCGACTGGCTCGGAGGCTGCGACAGTCGAGGCAGTGAAATGTTCCCGATAGGTGTTCCAGATATCGATCCGGATCCATATTGATCAAGGAGTTCCGCTGTAGAATCTTCCTCCATCGCTCCGTCGTTGTTGGCTCCCACTGACGTTCCGTTCGCGCTCTGCTCACCACCATCCCCATTCACCTGCGGCTTGGGAGGTGACGGTTGCTGCACCTCCATGAACCCGCCCTTGTCCACGCACAAAACAGCCTTCTTTGCCTCAAACGTGACTCCCAGCGACTTTTGCAGATCCTCTACAACTTCCTCCACTAGATTCGCACCGTCACCCTCGCTCTCAGCAGAGCGTGAAAGTTCTCGTAATCGCCGCTCTGCCTTGATATATGTCCGCGTGCGCTTCAGTTGGGCAATCTTCTTCGCATGGTTGGCCTTCATCTTATCAATCTCGGCTTGCTCATTCGTCGTGTATTCTGTCACACGCTTCTCAAAGCCCTTGAGCTGCTCCGCATCCAGCTTGTAGTAATTCTTGATCTTGTAGTTTTCTTTCCCCATCTCTACATTCTCCGCCCCTGGAGCGTCCAGAATGCCGGCAGTGAGTGGAGCTAATTCTCCCATAAGACCCAGTCCAAGATCAATCGGCGTAATCTTTCCAATCGCATACGGCGACGAGAAAATCTCCTCCATCCATTCGTGGTGTTGCTTGTATCGCGACAAGCTGATTTCGCGTGGTGTTAAAAAGTCAAACGCATCTTGTGTGGCATTCTCCTCTTCGTCAAGTGTGTTATCCGGTATGATTGCGCCTGGCGCCGGCTGGCGAGGCGGGGGCTGTGTCGGCAAGCGCTGGCGTTTGGCCGGAGGCGGATGCGCAGCATATGGTCGGCCTGGCTGCATCGGGTTGTAGTAGGGCTGCGGGCCCCTCATGGCTTGTTGTCCAAACTCGACCTTGGGCCAGTTGGCTTGGTCAACCAGCATAAACTCCTTGCGCATCAATGGTCCTGCTTGCTGTAACTGAGCGCGCGTCTGTAGCTGGGTCTGCACATCGCGCGGTATGGGGATCTGAGCGGCCGGAATTCGGTTTTGTGGGTCTGCCGGCTTATAGTGGACCAGCCAGAGATTAGGATCAATGGTACCAGGTCCAGCAGCTATCCTGTAGCGATGGCGTGCGTGCATCGCATATGGCTCATGTGGGTAGTGGTATCCGCTGTTGTGTACAAAAACCTGGAGGGTCTAGACGGCATTAGATGTTGCAATATCAGTACACCTCGGACACACATACATAACCGCGCACATTCATGTCGTATGCGCTCTCGGCATCCGCCCAAACCATTCCATCCGACGCAAACATATTTCCCATGCGCGGGGGCTGCCAGGTGAGGATAACGGTGCCATCTGGCGGGGGAGCTGCCAGGAACGTCCACGCAACGGGCGAGGTGTCGCGCACAATCTGCGGGCCTTTGATAAGATACTCGAGGGCCTGAGCGGCTTGCAGGCCAGGCAAGGTCGGGAAGCGATACGACGATATCAGATGAACATGGGCAAGCTGTCCTGTTAGTCGGGCAAGACGGTCGCGGAGCTTTGGCAAGACATACCAGGTGATTTGGAACCTGCGCACTCGGGTCGGGAGCATGGTAGGCCTGATTCATGCCGTACATGATGACTTGGGTAAGGCGACAGCAGTGCCGCGTCGATCAATTCGAGTTGGGGTGTTGATGCAGCGGGCGCGAAAGCTGGGGTTGATGTCTGGAATCTTTGGCGCGTTGAACCACAGCGCGACTGCCAAGGGCCTTGCCAAAAGCGGTTAGCACAGTCACCGCTGTCGAGATCATATCACGGCCGCTGAGTCCACATAAGTATAACGCGATTTCTTAAGAAAGATCAAATACCAGTTTGTTTGGTCTTCCGGATATTCATGGGTGATATCGAAACTGTCAGCGAAACACCCCAGATCTGCATACCATTAGTCCTCTTAACTTGGGTACTATAAGATCATCACTTTATCTAAATCGAGTTTCATAGACGACTATGGCAGAATGGCGTATTGACAACGAGGACTCATCTAGAGAACTGGAACCTCATGACCATGAGCGTTTTCTAGCACCTCATAGTTATATTTTTGATTCGGGATAGACTCAAGGAGGCTTCCTATTGGACACTCTCGATAAGCGGACTCGGTGGGAGTGCTATTATGGTATAAGGAAATGGTAGGAAGCGGATGCAGACGCAAAATGAGCAGACTACGAGCTACGTATGAGTTGTTGGTTAGGTTACAGCGTTTCCACTGCTTTGATTTCATAGTTCAATGCTACTTCATACCCATCGAGCTAGCAGGTTAGCAAGGCCATATCCATATATGTAGCTTGTGCATTTTGCAAAGTGAGGGGATTAGGAGAAGGAATTAATGAGACCATGATTGGATTTCTACTTATGTCATGTGTAATTGCCCCCAATAACCACCCACTAATAAAGTTTCCTGCGTCTATGCTCCTTGTGCTCTGTGATTGATTGGATGGCCTCCGCTTCGCCTGACTTCGCACCAGTGCGGGGTAAGTACTTGGGTACGTTACTTTACGCGCTGATTTTTGCTACATATTACAGGTTGACATCTAAATCTACGTTTCTCCAGTGTTTAGAACAGTCATATGACGCCGACTCTCACGAAATATACACCTTTCTGCCCAGCCTGAAAACCGCGTCGCTATCGCGCACGTCAAAAGTTTCTAGCCACAAGCAACTCTTCGGCCATGCCTGAACCCAGCCAGTACTTCAACTTCTTTGGACTGCCTCGCGAGATCCGAGATAAAGTCTATGAATATACACTTTGTTCTTTCAGTCAGCACCGTGGCCCGTATGACATCACACAGTGTGCAGCTTTGTGCTCATGGACAGACGTGCAAATATGCCATTTCACCGGGAATCTCAACCTCTTGCTTGCGAATCAACAAACCCACAATGAAGGCTACAAGATTATGTTGGAGAGGAATCAATTTGTCATTGTTCAAATCCACGACTCCGTGAACGAATGTGCAATGATACATGGCCATTTACCGCCAACATTTGTTCTCTATTCCGCCTACCACAATGAACTAGAGCAAATGCGTCCGGAATCGTACCCATGGCACACCATGCGTATAATGCTAGGCAGCAAGAACAATCTGCCAGGAGAGATGGCGATGAATGGCGAATACACTGAGATTGCCATGTTATTGGAAGATTGTATGGATATACTCAAGAGATTTGCACTTCGCGTTACCGATGAAACGCTGCCTGACCCAAATGGAAGATTGCCTCCTACGCGACTACCGATAAAGGTAATAGTGGACCTCAACCCCAAGAGGAAAGAGTGCGACAGGGAGACTAGCTACATGCATTTACGAAAATCCCGCTCAGCTATCGACCAGAAAAAGCTTCTGAAGCACATAGGAGACACTTTTCGCGCTTATGACAATTTTGAGATCAAGAATTGTGATGACGAAGCACTTGCTGCAGAAGTTGTCCAGCAAGTATCCAAGGATCCGTCTATTAGTCTCGCTTTTTTCCAAACTCACATCGAAAGACATGCCCACAGTTCTGAGGCCTCTTGGAATCAGGGAAACATCGTGGAATGCGCCAATTTCTGTACCGAGGGGCTCGAACTAGTCCACCGCGTTCGGTTCAGCGCTCCACTCGTGTACCAACTGTGTGACGAAGGTTTACAAAATTGTCTCCATACGAGCCAGGTGATTCACAGGCTATACTACCTCTTGGCACGGTGCACTTTTGCACATCTCTCCACGCTAATGGCCAAGCGTGTCGAAAAAGACAATTATCATTACATCGGCGATACCGCCCATGCTCTTTTCGACTTGCTCAAGACGCACAAAAAACGTATGCATGGTTTCTTATCGCATTACAATCCTCCCATTCACGAAGAAGCCGAAATGAATTTCATGAAAGCGAAAGCCCTACGTGTAGAATGGGAGTTTCATTCAATGGCACCATGGGGCGAGATGCTCAGGTGCATAGAGGAAGCCAAAAGGTTGCAGCCGGACAACCCTATCTATGAGGAAGAAGAGAGAAAAGCAAAGATTTGGCTCGAAGATGATGCGAGATATAATGCTTGGTTACGTACTGTAGATTGGGCGACACATCTAAATATGAGATATTGGAGAATGGAGATTGATAAGTCGGTATTCGAATTCTGAAATGCCTTATCAGCTAGCGATATGAGAATGAGCTAGTTGACGTATATTATGGCTCCAATAAAGTTCATTCAAAGAGATGAGTACGATATCGCAATTGGTGAAGGTTAGTATGTATGAAAGAGCGATGAGTAAGTACGTGCTCGCCAGACTATGAAGAGCAATCAGACAATTTGCTTAAACTAATCCATGTAATCTTAATACACCATCGGGGCGTAGGCTAAGTTTCTATGTTAACCTACGGGTAAACAATCGTCGAGTTTGGTTTATCATGGAGTATAGCCCCGAACAAATGCCCACGACTCGTTGTATGGTATAAGCAGTCTGGTGTTACAAGTCGAGCTGACACGTAGCTCTTGTGACGTCTAGCCTGATCATGACGGAGCTGAACTGGCCTAGTATCAAATCAGCTAGGTTAATCGATGGTGGCTTAAGGCGGTAAGGATCAATGTTCGTACCGTGTAGGAAATGTGGTCGAAACCAGATAGGATTTCATCATCGCCCACTTTTGAAGTCTAGCGTGCTGCATGCACAGACCTCCTGTGGCGGGTACTATATTTGATCTACACTTGGGACTGGATTGCTATAGCTTGAAATCCTGTAGAAAGGTACGCATATTGAAGATCAGTTTAACTTAAATAAGGCCATCTAAGAAATGAGGCAATGTGGTAGGGTAGAGATAGCGCTATGGAGTCAGGGAAGGTTGAACATCTACTACATAACAAGATATTCAATATTGCGTCACTTTGACATGTCTCAAGTTTACTCAAGGAATGCAGAGCAACATCAACTATCATTGGTTTAGTATCTGACGGTTCCTGAGCTGTGTTGTTTTTCCCTTAGATCGTCGATCGCGTTAGGAGGTTTAGCTCCATCAATCTTGGGCCCGGAAGCATGAACTAGGGAGGAAAGCATTTCCGCTTTGAGACAAAACATTAAGACCAGCCAATTGCAATGAATCCACCGGTCGATCTGCAATACAAACACGGCACAGGTGCTTCGTCAGACTAGCTGATAGCAACACAGGTTGGACCGCGGATCCATTTCTCAAGGAAAACGGACGCCATTCGTTCTATATAGCCACAGCGGTCCCTTGCATAAATTTAGAAGCTTCCAAGTTTTGCACAAGGTTGCGATCATTAAGAAATTCGTGGAGCTTCAAATCACACCGCCTCCAAGCACTGCTAGTGCACTCATTCACATTTCACTTGGGATTGTTTCGTGGTAGATCATCCCATGAAAGCCCTGTTTGCAGGGCAGACAGTCCTTGTTAGCACAAGATGCTTGACGGAAGCTCCATCGCAGCCATTCTTACAGGCATTCTAGCTCTATGCGGCGCTCTTGCGACAGCCTGGATGTCCGGGTTGAACGAAAGACGACTAGAATCACGCAGAAATCGAAAAGCACTTGCTCGCTATTCGGTACCTCTCCTTATCGCATCTTGGGACCTCGCCAACTGGCTCTACGATATCCTCGAAGACAAGTACTATGGCCCGGAAAGATGCGAGGCCTATGGTGATGGCTGGAACCCGAAATTTACTTCGTTCTTGTTTGGCCAGTACTTCGCTGGCGTACACATCATCCGCGAAATGACGCAATATTTTGCACACATAAGAGGTGAAAGGGCACACCTTTTGAAGAGACTTCTCTGGAAGATTCAAGACGAATTCATATCAATGCATTATATTGGACGCGAAAGTCTAGGAGTTCGTTGGTTTGAAGGCGACCTATTGAGTATCCAGGAACACATGACCATCGCTACTGATCTGGATGGCGATGGCAATGAGGCTGAGCTACGCACAATGGGATGGGTCGAATTTCAGAAGCACTACATGGCAAGAACTGCAGCGAATAAAGGCGACAAATCGAAGGAGTTGAAGAAGGTATTCGGGTGGTACGAGGAGGAATTGCAAAGCATCATCTATCGCCGTTTCAAATACTTGTACTCGACTATATGGGAGGGCAGCGACAATCCCCAAGGGTACGAGAAGACGAGGGATAAAATAACTAATGAGAAAGAACTTGAAGTTTTAGAGAAATACGAGAGGGACATCCAAAAAGAAAAGCAACGAAACCCGGGAATCATCACTGTTATACCCGATCATCGACTTCGCCGTATCCAACACCTTCTGGTCGACCTCGCGACACTCTTGGACAAAGAATCCGGCATGGAGTTCAACCGCCCAGTACGGAGATGTCACATGGACGTTGGCGAAGCTGTGTTATCCCATGATACTGTTTTGCTAGCTCACAAAGATCAGGCTACCGCGCTGGACGAGGGCACGGCTGTACTAGCTTACAAGACTCCTGTACAGCCTCAAGGGACCCGAGAGCCCTTCAGATATCGAATCCTCTGCGATTGCGCTTCTGCCGAATGTAATCCTGGAAAAGAAGACTTCAAGCATCGCGATCTGGAGTCTAATAGGATACAAAACGGTCTTGTGAAGAGAGCCACGCTGCGTTATCGCGATTCCCAGAAGCAAGAGATAGATCGGAGGAATTCTGAAAAGAAGAATACGGAAAAGGATAATGGATATCAGTGCTAGAATTTACTTGATGAGCCTACATCACGAAAGGAGATTCGGCCCTGATTCCGTTTAGTTTTATCTTTCCGAAAGTCAAGAAGGCTTTCTAGATATTTTAAATTCATTTCCATGTGATGTACATCAGTTACGCCAGCTGTATGGGTTATATGCAAGAAGAGGCCAGATACTAAAAAGTTCGCATTTGCATTGTTCTGCAGAAGAAACGATAGAAACAAAGAGAGAAGTCGATTTACGACAGAATATTTACATACAATGATGTTCCCATCCTGAATCATGCTTTGTTTCTACGAAGCTCTTTCGCCAGCGTAGCCCTTCACACATCCGGGGGAGGCCTTGTACCACAACGCTGGTTCCTAGAACCCTTGACCAATCAATCCTCGGCCACCCATCCTTTCTTCGCAACAAGTCTTTTAAGCGATTTTACTTACCCGCCAAAGGCAAAAGGCAGAAATAGATGCGGCGGGGCCAATAGTGATGATACCAACTGCAAACGCTATTGTAAGCATAGTCCACTGAGCTTTGATAATTTTTGCTCTTTCCATATTGCGGGCAGTGATAAAACACCAGAGCACCCCAGACGCCATGAGAATATAGTAGTCCCACAAAAACATGTTATGATGGCCTTGGTATGATGAGATGCCGTTGTCTGGTCGTGGAACAAAGATGCGTGACAAAGCAGCCTGAGGATCATCTGATGTGAGGGACTGAGCAACAGTATAAAAATGCGCGCAGATACTGATAACCAGTGAGGCGAGAAACAACCATCCCTCAGACTTTTTAGATTTGCTCCAACCTCCAGAACCTTTCACAGAAACCAGATTGGCGATGCAACCCAATACGCTTTGAAGCACGTACACATAGATTGGAGAGAACATCCAAGCTATGGCCATCATCTGTCGTGTATTGCTTTCCTGGAACGGGAAGAACATAAGCAAAGTTGGTACGAGCATCCCAAGAATGAGAGCTGGTAGCAGTGTGTTTGCCTGGGTAGATCGAGAATAAAGTGCCGACGGCCACCAAGTTTGCGGGTTTCCAGTGCAAAGATTTTCAATCAGGAAAAACAAGGGTGCCATGATTGCAATGGCCGAGACTTTGCTGAGCGTGAAGAAGAGAATAGCCCAGCGGACTGGCGTTAGATAATTGCGCGCTCGGAGCGACTCCACTAGCCATATAGCAATGATGACGAATTCGGAAAGAGCAAGATTTAGTGTGAGTAGTCGGTAGCCTGTGTCCCAAGATTCGATGGCTGGGAAGTAGGCTGCAATCAGGGTGTTCATGTTGGAACCAAGGACGGGTACGTGGTCGAAATTGAGCATTTTCTGTGCCTGACCCTTGTACACGCCTTCTTTGATTGCTGTCTCAATTACATCCATGGTGCCATCGGCCATAGGTACTACACCTAGCGTATAACCGGCAAAGCATACCAGTCCAAGATAACCGATGATGGCGACGGCTTTGGAAATGGTTCGTTTTTGGGATGGGATTGCGAGCTCATCGTCGTAAGGAATTTCATGGGGACGCTCAGGTACTGGCAAAAGATGTGACCGATGAGCACCCACCATCTGCTGGCTCAACCCGTTGACAACCGGATGAGGATCAAAGTGTCGGATGAGATACTTGTCGACCAGCTTATAAACGGGCGTTTCCCATGCGAAAAGTCGCTGAATTGCTATGGTCGCATCAATCAGACTCTTTATACGTCCATATCGAATCGCATGCGTTTTGGAAAAGGCGCGGCTAATATGGTCAGTGTTGGGGCTGCCCTTTGATTCGCGCAGCATGATTGCGATGTTATCGGCAAACACAGCAGCAGATTCTATGGCTGACTCGCCGCCTTGACCGGTCAGTATATGGAACTAATATGTCTAGTCAGCTAGAGTTTGTTATGAAAGTATACTGTGTGCTCACTTTCTGTGCGGAATCACCCAACAGAAACACTCGCCCCCAGCTCCAATCTTTGAAAACATGGTGTGACACCATCGTAGCATCCCAAGTCTCAGAATTCTCAAAAATTTCACCAAATGAAAGACTGGGGGTGATCATATCTCTAGCCTCTTCTCTGACATACTCCAACGCAGCTGTTTTTTCGAAGCGTGGAAGGTCCGTACCATAGTGCGGCTTGTCGAGTCGGATGAAAAGGAACCAGAATAATCGGTTCTCATGCCCAGCCATTACTGCGATAGTGCGATTCTTCTTATGTGTAAAGCAGACGTTGGTTGCCCCGACATCTCCCGGTGACTTGGAAATGCCGAATACGCACTTATACTCAGTAGACATTTCTACACTGCGTGTTAGATCAAGTGACTATAAAGCCTGTAAAATCTGTGCTTGCTTACCGCGCCAAATCTTCTCCGGAAAGCGTCCCGGCGATGCTTCGTTACCCAGTCGCCACATCTCAGAGCGAACTTTGCTGTGGACACCATCCGCACCAACAACAATGTCGCCTTCGAAGACGGACCCAGACTGGGTGAACACCTTTACTCCCCTACTTGTATGTTCGATCTTCGCCACGCGCTGGTTGGTATGTACGGCCGACTTGTTCCGAATATGTTTGAATAGGACTCGCAACAGTTGCTGACGACTGAGGAAGAGCACACCATAGCCGTGTCTGTTCTACAATGTTAGCGGACTATATTGTCTCTCATTTTAGCCGCAAATTTGAGATTACCTTTCTGCAATCAGTTTACCGATATCAAATGAAAACAGCATTTCGCCATCCTCATCTCTGGCCGTGATATTACTAAATGGTGATGCCAGCCGTGAAATATCCTCATAGCAGCCGACCTGATCCAAGATGCGCAAGCCATGAGGATACAAGCCAATACTCGCTCCAAGTTGTGGTGCAACGTCGTTGTAGGCCTCCAAAACGATATAGTCGATACCTAGATTCTGTAGCAGGTTTGCCAGTGTGAGACCAGCCACGCTCCCCCCAACAATGATCACTTTGAATCTTTTTTGAACCATCTCTGGCCTTTGTCGGTGGACACCTTTCTGCGTGAGTGTGTGTGTACCGGTTTTGTGTCACGACTAGTGGCATCTTTTCTCAATATAAATCGTTTGACTTGGTACACATAATCCCTGCCAGGGTCATATGTTCGGAAACCGAACAGCGTCATGGTGCATCAGCGGCTCTTAGCTAGGTTTGCTTAGAGATACTAGATGCGGTTAGACCGTGTGAAGCCGTAACGACCTTCCCGATATTAGAAATATGAACTAATATTCGATGTGAAAAGTATATAAGTTTTGAGTGGGGTACTGTCCTCAAGAGAAGGGTTTGTGCTAGCTCAACTACGTAACGCCGTAATGCAATACCATGACTAGCGCTAGCCTTACCAGAAGTTTGTATAGCTCTTGCACGTAACATTTTACGGACCGCACATCCCTGTTACTTCATTCTTCCCTGTCATGTCTCTGCAATCAAACCGAAAATAGTCCGTCGGTGTGTCCGGCGAAAGGAAGATCTACAATCCGACAACATACCAAGCGGAAGGCTCTCAAAGCAGTGAATACGTAGTAGTGCCGAAGGTCCGAAGGTCGTGAAATATATCATGTTTGTGATTGTGCGTGTATTGCGATGTCTACACAAGTTCCATAGCATATACACTCCAATCTCTAGAAACGCTTACTATAGCACACCATATCAACATGTTGGCATTTGATGTAAACGGTATATAATCCTTGCTGATATATTTTTGAATGGTATATGAGTGACAAGTCTGACATCGCAACAGAATCACTGGCGTCTCCGGCTGACAAGCGTCATCTTTTCCCGGTACAATATAGTTATAATTATCTAGACAGCCTACCCGAGTTCTTCAGACTTCCTAGTCTAAAGCTGAACGATGCTTTCCACGAACAAGCAGCCTGTTCAGCCTCGTCATTTCTCAGCACCAACGCTATAACAATTTCACCCGAGGCTGCAGGCCTCCCTCGTTGGACTGCCCTCAACTGCTTCCGCCAAAGTAAGCACTGGAATGCTGCTCTAGCCGCTGGCATCGAGCAACTTAAGCTATTCGCTGCCGACGACTTTTACGGTGAGCGGACAAGGAAAGGACAATCGTTTCGCCAGGTCTCAAGCAAGCTTCTACAAAATGCCGAGAATGGATTCCTCAGGTTCACACTATACATGTTCCCAGAGTGCGACGAGCACAAGGCCAAGTTAATGGCGATTGTTATGGTTTATGTCTTTGTGTTCGATGGTAAGAACATCATTCCTGTAGAAAGGCCTAGCTTGACGAAAGGCTGATACAAAAGCTTCTAGATCTCTGGGAGGCCCATGAAGATACAAAGGTAACTCATACCTATGGCGTTCTGTTCTGGTGACCTTGGAAAGCTAATAACATCAAGATCCCCGTTATTCAGGAAGGGTTCATTTCGCATTTACGAACTCAAGCTCCCGCCAGGACACCACTCCAGATCTCGATTGAAAATACTATTCGGGATCTTCAGAGCTATGCAGCAAGAGGCGGCCAGGACGTCATTGATATGCTTGTTGAATTCTGTGCGCACCCTCCGCCACCACCCGCGCAGTTCATCAACTTGGATGAGTTCCTGGCCTATCGTCGAGACGACGCTGCGGTGAGGTAAAGGCTTCTGTACTCCTAGAATATAATTATGGTGAAGCTAATTGCGTCTGCAGATATGTCCTAGCATGCACCAAGTTTTCAATCGGTTCGAGCATCGAAATCAACAGCCCTAAGCTGCAGACGCTGGTGCGGCTCTTCGGAAACCACATCGTCTATGTGAACGATCTCGGCTCATATGAGAAGGAGAAGCTAGCGTATGACGAAGGCAAGGTCGAGTATTTAATAAACACGGTACACATGGTTGAAGAGCTTCTTAGCGTACCCGGACAGGGAAAGACTGTTACATACGGCTTGCAACTGCAGGTTGAGTGTGATATTGATGCAGAAATCGGGCGGCTCAAGGAAGAGCTTATGGATGATGAGTATGACTTTGTCATGGCTTGTGTGGCTACGCTGGCAGGAAACGTGCTCTGCTCATCTATCATGGACCGATATGGTGGAGATAAGGCGAAGCTTGCTTAGTCGGAATTTGGAGTACACTCGTTGTCCCATATTTATTCTGCTATTATCAACACAAAATTTCAGAGTTTTTGACAACCAGTTGTTCTTTATAACGTCAATGTTCGAGTTGACTATATGTACAAATATCGTTGTATCGAACTCTTGAACTGTATGAAAGATTGCTATCAACAACAATGTCGAAGTTTGAATATGAACATAGAAAATCAGCATGGTGCTCATTAAGGCTGAGTTTAATCTTTCTTAGATATTCAGTATCACCAATAATTTTCGATAGCCACCCTATTTCGTATGATATGCTTGCGAGTTTGTTTGTATTCGTCGTATGTCCTTTTCCTGAATATCAGGAAAATCGTCACCAGACCATGCAAGTTGCCCAATCCAGCTCCACTCCTTTATAGATATCAAGGCACGCAAATGGAAAGGACGAGTATGTTATCCTTCAAAAGTGAAAAATAAAATGATGGTCTAGGTATAGCATATACTACACTGTCTGTCTAATGAACACCATTACTAGCCATCCGGATGAAAGCCTGCTCACACGCCACATGCACTTCCGGGATCTCATATTCGTATTTCCTCAACGTATCCTGCACCTTTGTAGTATCCAGCATACAATTGCTCCGCCCACTCTTTAGCACCTGGTTCTGTTCCTCGACACTAAAGTTCTTCCACGTAAAACTAGGCCGTACGTGCTTCTTGAACAGCGAGAGAACCTCATTATGCGATATAGCACCGGGATTGACAAAGTTGAAAACACCCTTCTCGTTGTGCTCGGTTAGGATGATAGCTGCAGGAAGGAGTTCATGGAGCACAGAGTGCGAGTTGGGCACGTTGACCACACGGTCGTATTGCGTGATTTTCGTCACAACGCTACGGGGATGAAGGTCATCTGATACCGGCATGCGGATACGCAGGATGAGGCAGTTTCCGTAGTGCTTGATGACATTTTCGATGTGCCACTTTGTTGCCGAGTAGAAGTTGCCAGCAAAATTTGACGGGTCTGTTTCTCGAAAGCCAGGTCCTCCAATCGGATGTGCCTCATCGTATGCGTACAAGCCTACGAGATTCCAAGTTAGTAAACTGATCCCTGGTGTTTAGTGCACCGGAAATGGGGGAGTGGGGATATCGTACAAGCAGTGGAAAAAGTAGTCACATGTATCCCGCGGACAAAACAGCAATCTACTAGGTTGATGGTTCCAATGACATTGGATCTGATCGTCTTCTCCTTATTGTCCTCGCACCAGTCGACGTTTGGCACTCCGGTGTAGCCGGCACAATTCAATACGTGCGTGGGCCGGACTTGGTCGAGCTCTTTCTCAACAGCTTCGCGGTTTTCCATTCGGACCGTTGTTGATACAACCTGCTTTCCTTGATCGCGGAGGAGCTGGATGAGTTGTCCGGCTATCCAGCTATTGCCTCCCCAGATCAGGAATACCTGGTCACTGGCTTTGCCCGAGGTACTCATTTTGACAGTAAGTAGAATTGGTCTGTGGTGTGATATTTGCTTTAGATTGATAGAAGGTGTTTGGTCGTAACGAAATCAATTCATGCACAGGTTATTATAGTACGTTAGACTAGTATTGAGTAAAAAGTCCGCATCTAGGAGCCCCGCTTGAATACGATCAAAAAGTTTCTTTTCATCAATTGCAAGTCCACTGGCTATACTCAATCAAGCATCCGCATGGGCTCGCCGCTTTATCATGAAGCTATTCTCTTGAAACTGCCATATGCGATGTCATGGCAATGCAGATGCTATTTTGGCCAGGATGCTGGTAGTATATCTCCAATGGCCCCACCTGAATGCTAGCTTACCGTGGATGCAGGCGGAACCGGATTGCGTACTTCGTATGCATACACGGAATTTACCATGTTAGGTTAGCACTCTGACTGTCATAGCGCTGACCGAGAATGTATTAGTAGTGTTGCATAATTTCGTGTAAAAAACGCATGTAACGGTTTTGACATACGTGTGTGACCTTGCTAAGTTGCTTGCGTAGAATGATGAGCACGACGAACTTACTGCTTCAATGAGGTTGATGCTGAAGGTTACTCATGACATGCGTCTCTAAAAGGCCGAAGCCTATACTTGGCAAACGACTAGTAATGAAATTGCACATTCAGAATTCGTCCGGGTAGTTGTACATAGCTAGTTGCTTCAAAGTCTCATATGGAACAGATGCACGTATTATTCAAGCAAACGCAAGCTCCAACCACATGCTGATAAATCTACACAAATGGCATCATTGCCAAAATACTACCTGATGTCCTTCAGGACAACCAGAAGAGGCGGTTTATCAAACACAGTAAACACTTTTTGATCTTCCTGCCACATTTCCATACCTCGATCTAGAGAAATGTCAAAGTTCCAGAGCAAATACGCAATAGCAAGCCGCATTTCATTGCGTGCCAAGTTGTGGCCGACGCAATTCCGAGGACCATACGAGAAGGGTTGGTAGCATGCCTTCTTGTCGCCTTCCCATTGGGGATCATACTCAGGATGCGAAGGCTGAAACCAGCGTTCCGGCACAAACCCGAATGGGTCCTTGAAGTTATTCTTGTTGTGATAATTTGCCCATTGGAAAACAGTGACATCGGTCTAGTCGTTCCTTGTTAGCCGTGGTCGGTTGTATGGACTAGCAAATAGACTTACACCTTCAGGGATATATCGTCCGTCAATGAATGACCCTCCAGCAGGCGATCTTCGTGATGCTGTTTCCACGGATGGTGGGTAGCGCCTCAAGCCTTCCTCGATGCATGCATTGAGGTACGGAAGTTGAGCCAAAGCGAGCGCAGTGATCTCTTTCTCGGTAGCGAAATTGCTGCGTATCAGGTTGGTCAACTTATTCAGAACCTTCGGGTGCTTGCAAAGGTAGTATGTCAAGCCGCAGAGCGCCGTGGCCGTCGTCTCAGATCCGCCAATGGCCAGCATAGCGGCATTGGAACAAAGCTCGTCTCTGGTCATTCCTCTCTCATCATTATACCTAAGGATATAGGTGAAGAAGTCTTTTCGAGACGGCGACTCGCCTGCCTCGAGCCGTGCCGAGATCTTGTCGTTGCCGTATTCAAGGTGCTCTAACCTCTTCTCTTGCATTTCTTTGGTAAAGAAGAGTCGTTGAAGCGGCCGTAAGACAGGGTAGATGTTGAATATCCGCTCTCTCGTCATCATCTTTAGATTGTTGAAAAACAAGGAAACCCAAGGGTGGAGTTTGTCGTTCTCTAGCGAATGGAAAGATTCGCCGAAAGCAAGTTCTCCGACAACATCGAATGTAAACCTGTAAAAGTAATCCACCATATCTGCCGAACGCTCCTTTTTCATACGAGAACGCAACCCTGCTACAAGTAGCTTCGCATATTTGTGCACATAGTCTTCCTGAGCAGCCAAAGCCTGCTCCGAGAAAGCATGAGCAATCAGCTTGCGCATTCTGCGGTGGTCTTCCTGATTAGCCCCAAGGATATTACCTTGGGACTCGATACTGCCGTAGAACTCAGGACTTTTAGGCCACTCAGAAACACCATTTTTCTTGTGGCCGTACACGTCTGGCCAGGCGAGCGAACCATCGACTGCCAAAGCCTCCGGTCCGATGCGAACAAAAGGGCCATATTTCTCATGCAGCAGGCGCACATCTAGAGGCAAGGTTCCCTTAATGTACTCGTAGTATATTCTAGGAAGCTTTGAGACTGCGAAGTACCAAGGCCCGGGGTAATTGGCCATGGGACTAAAGTACAGTCTATACAAAGCTTTGATGCACAGCTGTGCAAGGAACTGGTAGAGAAGTGGATTAGCATGAGCCTACTGTGAGGTGGGGTGAATGCTCCCAGGTTTCTGAGGTTCTATGGAATAAGGAGTACCGACTAATGTGAAGATGATCACAAGCGCATAGCTCACTATCCACGCCATGATTGATACACGTATTCTCGTTGTTTACAAAAACGATTCGTGCTGTAGATGATCATGAAAATACTAGGCAAGGTCGAAATTTGGTAGATAATTCATCAATTGTACGTGCCAGAGTTTATATCCGATACTTCTAAGTAAAGATAACTTTTGCGCTAAGACTAGGTGTAGAAGTCAGACGTGTGCTAGGTCGATACCCCGGCCGTGTTGACAAAACATCATGAACACTTCCTTTTTTTTCTTGCAAGGATGAGGCTGCGAATACAGTGGAGACTGGATGCTACTACCTACGTACCTCTTCGGAAGAGCGAATAATAAAATTTCCGACTGGATGCAGGGATAGTAATGCTAACGTCTTGCGGGCAGCTTGGAGATCGGGGCGGTGTAACTTAGTTGGGATCTATACCCAATGAAACACATCCCAGTATGTACATCAGTATGTGAGCTATTTTACGACTACTTTTTACTTTTACATTCTTATACGTGGCTTCATACTTGGAATTCTGCTTCAGAATTCGTCCGTTACCAAAGGGGGGAGGGTTGGAGCATTTCTCTGAGGGCTTATGCACAATCAAGGCTCGAAAATCACACAGAAATGGTATAGACTGAGACAAGAGATCACCAAGTTCTATTCGCGTAGCACTACCAAATAAGGAAAGAAAGGTACAGAATCAACCAAGGGACGGGCGTTTTGCCACATCCTCTATGCTCTCGATGATGACAGTGAGGGGATCTGCATGCTCCATTTCTTCCTTAAGTTGCTTTGCCTTATTTGCGTACGTCTTGTCAACCAGTATACGGTTGACAGCGTCTTTGACCTGGTCACGAGTTGGTGTGGCCGTCCGGAGATTGACTGCGACGCCGGCCCATTCTGCCCTCGCAGAAGCCTCGGGCTTGTCTTCGCTCGCACCAGCCAGGACCAGCGGGACGCCCTGTGCGATGGCATGTTGGACGCTCCCGTAGCCTCCATTTGTAACGAAAACGTCGGTATAAGGAAGCAGCTCGTCAAACGGAATAAAGCCCTCGACACGGGCATTACTTGGGATGTAGACTTCTGCAGGGAGAGACCTGCCAGCTCTACCAAGAGCAACGACTAGTGAAACATCGCTTCGGTCACCGAGAGCCTCCATAGTGGGTACAACGAGGTCGTTGAAATTGACCGCTATGGTGCCCTGACTAACGGCAACGATGTACTTCCCGGCCTGGCGCCGGCTGATCAGTTCATCCAGCCAGGGAGGGCGAACTCCACCTTTCTTGACGGCCGGCTTGGGCAGGCCACCGGAGAAGCGGATGGTCGACGGAGCATCAGTTCGGTGCCACTCAAGACTGGGTAGAGAAAGTTGGACGAAAAGATTGGGGAGCAGCCACGGCTCGTCCCAGAACCAGTCAGCGATCCGTTGGGCACCGCAGCGGCTCATGATGTCTTCGTATCGCGCCTGAGCGCCTGCGAAGGCCTCTCGCATGTGGGCGAGGATAGCAGAATCGCGAACACGGCCAGCCTCCGAAGGATCCGGTAGCTCTCCTGGACCCCAGGGTGCACAGTCTTTGCTAGAGAGACCCATGGCTACCATCCCTAGGCCGATCCACCCATCTGGCTGGGGGCCCGGCGCCCCCGACATGGCTACAAGCGAGCCGAGGAACCATACGTCTGTCAGGGCAATAAGTCGACGACTTGGCTCAGCAGCACGCACATGACTAACGGCAATCTGAATACCCTGGAACTGGGCTTCCATATGCGCACCAATCATGATGTGCTCAAAGTTCCACCCTACCTGGCCCTGAATGTCATGCGGCATCGATTTGATACCGGGCCAGCGTACACCCAGCTCGGCCTCGTCGAGGTCGGCGTCAGCAGGCAGTGGTAGGAATTTGGCGCCTGTTGCTGCGACGGCGTTGGAGAAGGCGGCTCCAGTAAGGAAATAGACGTGGTAACCGCTTTGTACCAGGCCGGCAGCAATTGTACGCAATGGCGTTACATGGCCGGTGTAGGGTGACGCGCATATAAGCAGCGCGGGCTTTTCAGTAGCTGATGGAGTCGACATGATGGGCTGGAGCGAGGTTGTGTCTCGGCTTTGGCTTCCTGTAGCTGTTTAAATACAGGGGCCTAGGTACCACATGGACCGCGCATCTACATGTTACTAGGTATGTACTCTGTCGCTTGGGCGTAAATATCTGACGCATTAGGCAATGCTTAGCGCGGATTTTGCAGATCCTCGTTGTCGTATGTATGCACGTATGATTACCCTGGCTTGGACGAAAAAGATGACGTACGTACCTAGTAGGTTTAGGCCACATTTATTCTCCAGTGAGATTGCGTTAAACTAGACAAGCCCTCGGTAATACCAAGTAAGTATTTAAATGCTAGTGCCGGGACGAGAGCGCCACAATCCGATGCGAGTCCTATGCTAGCGCAGACCCACCACGACAGGGGATGTGCTAACTACACGACTACAGTAAGAAGCCATGTATACTTGTTGTATGATAAAGCTGCAACGCCGTACTCGACAATTTTGTATGCCGCCGGGTTCGGAGTCCTAACATGATCCGACTTCAGAAATCCTTGATCCTGGCTAGTAAGTACCTTCTAATGAAATAGGGAGTGCTTGCGAAGTGCTCTGTAAATCCAAGTTTCGCTATATGGAGCTGTATCCACTGTAAAACTTCCAGTAATGCTCTTTTAAAGCGGCGATGTTTCACATGTGTTTATGTGAAGGCGTGTGCATCCGCATATCATCTGTCCGAGGGTTTCTGTCCGCCATGTAGCTTACCACGCAGTCTACGCCTTGATTCTACACAGCCCCTTAGAACTCTGCTAAGTGGATACAGCCTTGAAGATTTCCGTGCAAATCGGAATTGGACCGCATGTACCACGTTCACATCGTCCGAGGGAGCGATTTTGTTTTTCAGATTATCTGAGCCTTTTACAAAAATTCATGTATTGTTCTTATTTATTCATTGTTACGAGATTTTCCAAGCGATACATGGTAACATTTGTATTGCATATCAGCCTCATGCGGGACATACCGCTTCCAAATCGTGCAGCAACGGGAATGGCTCCAGTGCTCTGCTCACGTCGCCCCACCACTCGGCCCCGTGGACACTATACCACGCAATTGTATCACGTATCCCCTGTTCAAACGTGATACGCTGTTGCCAACCCAACTTACGCAGCTTCTGCCCATCCACCGCATATCGCCGGTCGTTGAAGGGCCGATCATGCGTGGTGCGTATCCAAGCATGTTGGCTGCTCTTAGGCACCTGGAACAAATCGAGCAACCGTACCGCGAGATCAGCATTAGACACCTCGTCGCAAGAATCGACATTGTAGATTTCCCCAATCTTTCCGCGGTGTAAGATTGTATCGAATGCGTCCGCCGCGTCACTGGCGTATAGGTACCGCCGCGAGTTGTGCCCTTCCCCATGCAACACCAGTCCTCGCTCTTTAAGCAACAGGCTCACAAACTTGGGAATCACTTCTATTGCTTCTATTAGCACTTGATCATGTCAACCCTTATCTACTACAACTTGAGACTTACTCTCTGGATATTGACATGGCCCGTAGACATTGTTGCTGCGCACAATAATGGCCGGCAACTTAAAGCTTTTGGCGTATGCGTTAATGTACATCTCTGCTGCTGCTTTGCTAGCCGCATAAGGGTTGGTAGGCGACAGTACGCTTTCCTCGAGCAAGTCTGCGTCATTCTCGGATACCTCGCCCATGACCTCGTCAGTTGATACATGGATAAACTTTCGGATGTTGGATTTGACAGCACACTCGAGCAGGATATGCGTTCCCTCCACGTTGGTTTTGGTGAAGTGTAGCGAGTTAGCGAAACTTAGGTCGACATGTGACTGCGCTGCAAAATGGAACACAGTATCGATTTGGTGCTTTTCCATAGCTTCTAGGACATCAGATGTGTTGAGAATGTCGCCATGATAGAAATAGAAGTTTTCGAGGGGAAGCAAGCATTCAATGTTCTTCATCGATGCGCAGTAGTCCAGCTTGTCAAAGCATACCACGTTGTACACATCTGCATAGTTGATGGTCAAGTGTCGTGTCAACCACGATGCTCTACTACACATTAGATCAGCCAAGATTGTCATTTTAGGTCACTTACATGAATCCAGCCCCGCCAGTGATCAGAATGTTGTGCACGCCCTCTGCTGGCTCGTACTTCGTTGAGCCTGTCCACTGAGATGCCGGAGTTATTCGTTCTCCCAGTCTTTGGAGATTTGATTCGATCCCAACTGGTCCTCCGGGTAGTCGTTCACTTTGTCGTATGCAGGAGTTTTTCGTAGACCTCAGGTTGCTGCCTACACCTGTTGGTTGCACAATACATGTTCTTGACAACGTCAAATCCTCTCTCAGTTGGTCCACAAGACCATCTTGGATTATATTGGAATAATTTGGGTCTCTCATGGTGAATGTTCAGTAGTGGTTGTGTAGCAGGACTTCTTAGATATTAACATCAAAATCTCAGTACGTAAAGCATTCCAATTGAGATTCAACGCCTTCTGTAAGCTTGATTTTTGGACTTATATGATAGAATGATTTTGCTTACTACGCAGTCCTGATACGCAAGTGAGAATGCATCCCTGACCTGATCATCTGGCCCTTCCTTCCGCTGCGGATACTGCAGAACTGAGTCAGAGCCCAATTACGTCCACCCCATGCACGCACTGGTTGACATCGGCTACAACAGAAGACTAGATTCGGTTGGTAAGAAGCCTCGGTACAGGGGAAACAATAAAGCTAAGTAAACACCACTACCTTCGGTCACCGTACAACATTTCGGACCTTTCTATCAAATGTGGAGGACATGGTTGTAGGTCTTTGCGATACTTTTCGCTAGCGTGCGGACTTCGGGTCCAAGTGCCATTTGGATCGAATTCCCGCCCGGGCAAAACTAGCATCCGAGCTATCCGGAACATCTGAGCGAAATTAATATCTGGCCAAAGGGAGCATTCCAGCTGTAGCAAAATGCCAGCTGCTCCACTCTTAGGTAATGAGTAGTCACTATGTATGTTACACAATGTCGGGCTATACTGCTCTTCTCTAGTCATGCAAACGAAGATTGATTTGATGTCAAGAGACGTCTTTTTAACTACTTAGTCAGACTACAGGATTGTAGAATACGACTGAGGAATGAAAGCAAACCGGGTGGTAGTGATATCCATAAAAGGAAGATTTTGAAACAAACAAGTCAAAGAATCCCGCAAGTGAGCTTAGATGAGGATAGTGAAAGTATCATGCATCTTTAGCCAATGAGTTCTGAAAAGGTGCTCAAGAATTAGTGAACTGGAAAAAGAACAAAACCTCGATGTTCATACTCCAGGTTACGAAACCTTCTTCAAGCTGCATCTGACTTGATAAAGGCTAGTTAGGGTAAATTAGTGCTACACAGCCTTGGGTAGATCAATGGTTCAAGAAAACCAGACCTCAGAACATATTCCTAGACTCAAACTTGGACCTGATGCTACAATAAGGGGAATTTAGGCAATTGGTTGTTCTTGTCTTGCTTGGCTTTGTACATTGAGGACTGTACAAAGATTCTATGCTTAGCTATCGAGTAACGCATACGCATCAAAATCAGACATTTTTTCCCTCTTGATCTAAAGTCTACGCTAACTCTCGCCGCTCATCATGCATCCCGCTGCTATCATTGCAAAAACACCTCGCCAGTAATCACAATTGCGACAACGGTTGCTTCGGTCCCTCAAAAGGGCGATACCGCCAGGCCAACTACACCTCCCGGTCTTGCCACCTTTACTATCCGGGCCGTTCCTACACTCTATAGTCTTGGAGTCACGCCTGCTACAAAAGCCCTCACAAACCTCTACTACAAAGATTACAACCATCAGTCCCAGCATCTTAGCAACCCCCACAACCCTTTCTCAGCACCACTATCTTTTACTCAAAAAGTGCCCCATCACCCACATATACCACTTGTAGCACCAACGCTCTTTAAACCAGCAACCTCGAAAGACCACATATCATCTTAGCCCCAAAATCACCTACTATGCCAACATTGCCCTAACAGGATCTCACCAGCCCAACTTCAAGTATCTTAATCTCCCATCATACATGTGGTGTAGGGTTGCCTTCGTAGAGTACTACGAGCAATGCTTAGATAACGGACAGATATGATATGCTATATCCTAGTAATTTTGAAAAGTACGGGATAGTTGCAGTGCTGCTTCGTTACAAATAGGGTTTGGGCGTTGAGATTAGATGAAGAGAAATATGAAGGGTTAAATGAGTAGGAGTAGAAGGATAGAGAGATAAGGCGAGGCGAGAGTTATGGAAGGATTAATATGGAAATATCTATGGTTAGATTTGATGAGGTATGTATTCATTGATGTTAAATAACCTCAGTTTTCTTCGGTTGCATCTTTCCACTTGTTGAACGTAGGGAGTTGAAGAGGTATTTCACTAGTGGAATTTAACTATGACCTTGTATCGTGATTAGCTTATGGTGCATCGGTACCTCGGGGGCAGACTGTGGGGGCAACTCAAGCGATGCCATGATCTCGGGACAATGTCACAGTCAAATAGCATCGATGTGAATATCAGTATCACGTGATTGCAGGATTGAGTGATGCTGGATATGCTTCACACAACGTAAATCAAAATTGGCTATTACACTAATGGATAAATCTCCAAAGCGTGGAATTTCCAGTTCGATAATATGCAGGGGCCAAGAGACATGAAAGACAGTAGCAAATGGTACAATGAAACAACCTTGGAAGTCCATCATTTCCGTATATGCATCCTACGATACATTGTTTCAGCCTCATATAAGATGCGAACTAAATCGCGAAAGGCCTATTACTGTGCACTCCATGGGACAGATAAGTTTTGATGTGGATCATTCGATGATCTTGGGCTCAAACGACCATGAACTGAGAATGCTGAGTGCAATCGGTGGCTAGCAGATGCTGAAGGAGAGTCTGAGCCTTTTCAAATTGGATATCTGTTCCAACTTGAGTACCGGAAGTCCACGGATGTGGCCTTATGTTAAGGCATACATTGATTTGGATT